GCGCCGTTGGCTTCTTTGACTGTTCTGCTCGCTGAGCGTGCTGTGAATGCCCATGCGCTTCATTTTTGATGTACAACGGATCGTCTGTGTAGATTAGTGCATCTGCTTCGTCTGAATTTTCACTGATGAGAGCGTTGACCTCTGCATTAACAGCAACAGGATTCTCTTCTCTCCATCGCCTGTTCAGTGTGGCAATACAGGAAAATGTACAAATAAACGCATGATGCACGGTTAGGCTGCATATTTGCCTAATAACATCTTCTGCCCGACCTAGCCATGATTTTCCCCTCTTCAGCCTGTTGCCCTTTTCACTAAAAAGCGTTTGATGCAGTGGGTGTTTCTTATCAGCACATATTTTAAGGTATGCCCGAGCCCTCCAGATCCTGATGCTTTGGTTCATAGTTGGAAAGTCAAGTAGATATCTCATTGCTCCACAGGATGTGTCTCTTGTACATCCCAAAATAATGCGCATGGCTTCATTTTCACCTTTTCAGGTCGTTCAATCTGGGTAGCACTGACAGTGAGGATGACCAGAGCGTTTTCAACGGGAGAAAGGATCAGACGGTAGAATAGAAGTATTAGTAGTCTTTGCTCGATATTGGAAACAGCCATAATCCTCATTGCAGATAGACCTTTGCGTGCTTTTGTTATCACATGGTCCATCTAACTTACTTAGCTTGACCTCGGTGGCTATATTCAGTAACAGGCATTTTCACATTGGCTGACTGGGAACCTCTAAAATACCTTAGTTCCACAACATGCAAATCAGCCACGTCGAGGAATTCTACTATGACCGGCAGAACTCCCAAATCGGAGTCCCCCAGCACACAGCCGATAGCCGACATCTACGAGGGTCACTTTGCCTTGTTTCCGTAGTAAACGCCAACACGCGACGTCGCCCAAGACGAGTTCCTCACAAAGGAGCACACAGCTCAAGTCTGCCAAAATCTCTTCTCACTCTGCTCAAGTATATACACTCAACTGGAGCATTCCTAATTATTTGCCTAGTTCTAATGAATCGTCTAAGTCTCCCCATAATAAAATAACACTTATAGTTACTACTACAAGTCACACACACATCTGTACATTTGTCTGCACTATCTCAACGATTGAGAGGCACTGACTGGCCATGGGCTAACTTTCAGCTCAGCGGCTAATCACGCATGGGTCTTGCAAAACCCATGAAGCCGCTGTCCCTAGTCTCTCAATTTAACCGTGTGGACCTTTTGCACTCACCGCTGCCACTATCATCATCATCATCTAGCGCCTATACGACTGGCGTAGGCGATCAAACCTCTGACACCTGGTACAATCGAACAACAAAGTGAGTTTAGCACACAACACATCCCACTGCCTAAGGTCTGTCCACACAAAAAAAAAAACCGGTTCAAGCCGAACTTTACTGGTCGCTATGTGAATTACAGAATACAGTGAAGTTCATACTAGAGACGACATTGCAGATATAGATAATCGGTACTACTCACGAAAGTCATCCCATCTCGCCTGTCTTCGCTGTCTACAGTGTGCCGAAAAGTGGCTCTGATTTGTTCGACGCGACCGACACACTGTCTCACTGACGAAAGTGCGCAGATTTCTTTTCGCTACTCTTTTCTTTTTTTTTTTAAATGAACGAGTGGCATTTCTGGAATGTGTTGTTGTGAGTAGGTCTCAGGAGCCGAGGACAGTCAGAGATTCAGGAATATGTTGTTGTAACATTTTAACAGCAGAACACAGAACTGTAACACCACTAGTTAATTTCATCAGAAATATAAATACAGAACGCCGTGTTATAAATATTATTTTCATTGCGCCAGCGAATTGGGCAGCTTTCCACATTGGTTTTGTATAAATGAAGATGTGAGAAACAGTAGTCAAGAAAAGGGGGAGTGAACAAAAAACAGTTGCAATGTGAAATAATCAGCTGAAAAACAACTTTAAAAGCCATTGAAATTTATTGGTTCTCTATAGGTTTTTCACATACTAAAATCCACAAATATTATGTTATCACAGTCGACGTTACTGCATATTGGGCATTTCCATGCGTGCTCAGTCTTCCTATGCAGACACTCCAAGCTACCTCTACTAATTGTTCCCATAAGAAGCTGGTCATTTCCAAGGTACCTCTACTGACTAGTCCCATGAGAAGCCGGTTATGGTGTTTCTTGTCTTGACCTTAAAAACTGCTTAGACGTGCTTCACCAAGCTTTTTCCCAGGTCACGCATTCGGTTAGCGCAAGAGATTCAACATTATCCACCAACTTAGTTCGCACAGCGTTGGCGATATCCGCTCTGTCCGTGCTTCTTCAAGTTTGCATTAGTGCACGATTTGCCAGTTGGTTAGCTCTGCGTTCGATCTTTTACCCTCTGGCGTCAATATGGTGAAATGGCATACGACAACCGACTCGACATGCCCACTGTGCAGAGCGAAGCAGACGCTCGAGCACGTACTATCCACGTGCAGAAAAGCCCTAGGCCAGGGAGGAAATACTTGGCGCCCAAAAAAAGTCGTGAAAGAGTTAGCGGACATTAAGGACCAAGCCAGGATGAGGGTCAACGCGAGAGCCAGTCCTACCATCACCACCATGCGCATCCTCAAGGCTCGGCAGATTTTAAAAAAAAGGTAAAGATCCCTTTTCATACCTTGGGCGCATCGGGCATATGGGAAAAGCATCCCATATTTTTTACAGACCAATCGGCTCTAGGTGGGTAATGTGGTCAGCATTAGGCTAGTCGTCTTTGCTTTTCCAGGACAGCCATCCTGGTACCCATTTAAGGCTGGGTCAACCTGCGAAGCCCCAAACTATAATTAATGTCCTCGCAACCAGCAGTGGGTTTCGATCGCGGTACTTTGGAATTACGAGTCTGACTCGCAACGCCTAAGCCACGGACGCCGCTCTGGGCAGATTTATAAATGTAAAATCAACTAGATCCGATACGCTCAATCAATACTTGACTGGTTACTAGCTGTTGACCTGCCTAGCTAAGAAAAGTACACAGAGTCAATTTGGAAGACCAGCCTGAGACCCGATATAGTTCTGCACTCTGCGGCAAAAACGCAAGCTCATCCTGATTGAGCTGACCCAGCCGTAGGAGTTGCGGGTTGGAGAAAATTACCTGTACAAGCTCGAAAAGTACGGTGACCTCGTGGCCGGCCTGAGGATAGACGAAGCGTACGCAGTAAAAATCTTTGTCGAGGCCGGCGTAAAAGGCCTTATCTCCACTTCCACGTACAATGTGCTAGAGCAGCCTTGTTTGAGAGAAAGAGAGCATAAACGGTCACTAAAATAACTGGGCGAATCTGCTGAAAGAGTTTCAAACTGGCTCTGGACGCAACAAAACGTCGCAGGAAATGGGCCTCGGTAGACTGGTCCGAGTCCATAGTGGAAAAGAGCTTCTTATCCCTTAAAGCCAAAGTGTCCGATAAATATCTGCCAGTGTCTCTGCAAAATGCCAAAGTCTAACATCTGTCCGATTAACCAACCATAAGCTCGTCACTCTGGTCGTGAAGGTAGTCCCCTGACCTAATTTGCTACCGCAGGGACAATATAACACCAAATCTCACAGCACCTGTTGCAAAGTCACCATATCGTCTTGTCCCTGTTCGAGAGTCGGATAAAGTGCAGCAGTGAAAGATCGATGCCTGGATTCATGATCCGAGATTGTCTAGGAAGTAATGGGCCGCAACAATTGTCGACGAAGGATCTTTCTACTGATGACGGTGGACCCCTGTTGTGCATGTTCCCCTGTGGAGTCCTTTTTATTTCATTACCATTTACTTCTGCGTGCCAAGGTGTATAGATCCAGTGGGGGGGGGGGGGGGGGGGTTCATACTGAGGGGAGGATCTGAGCACCTATGGACATGTCCGGAGTGCAATGAGGATAACCCAACTAACTAACTAACTAACTAACTAACTAATAGATCCAGTTGATAGCGGTTAACTGCGACTTGCGAATTGCGTTTTACCCATTCGGAGAGTAATCGACTTGTTGCAATTTTCTGAAGCATGTTTATCGTGCCTGAAATGATTACAATATGAATGGCCTCTTGGTCTGCTATCCATGCGAGTGTTTGGGAAGCAGTGGTTATCTCCATGGTCATGCTTGACGTAGTTGTCTGGTAAATGCCACTATCATTTTTTTTAAATCACGTTTTTTCACAGCCAGTGTGCTGTGCATCCCAATGCTGACATTGACCCGCGCTTCACTGACCCGTCTGTGTAAAAGACGGCGACCAAGAACTTCTGGGTTAAAAAAAAAAGGTTAAAATCTTCTGGGTGTGAATGCTGATCAATGAATTGCCTTATCTTGGCATCTACAATGACAGATAACTGATTTCTGTAGTACTTCTTTAGTGTTATCCTAGGTGAAAAGCAGTCTGACGTTCACACAAAACCACCTTAATTCAACTGACAATCCACTTACATGCCTCTCTAAACGTAAGTAGGTAGGTGGGTAGGTAGTTGTACCCCACCAGGACATCACACAAACGATGAACAGCCGGTGACACAATGTGCCACCATGCGGATGAGGATCACCCGTGGAGAGGTCCCAGAAACCCCTTTCAGTCGTTAGGCCATAACTTTGGCCTAGGCCATTATTCAGGGCCCCAAGCAGAAGCCAGGGTGGGGCTTCAAATAACACACACAAAAAAAGCATCCCACATGGGGACGAATTATTGTACTTATTAATTTAAGTGTACGTGCTAAAACGTCATATCTAACCCTGTTATATATGTGCTTCTAGATTCAGTACCGCCAAAAGTTTTCTGCTTTGTGGCGTGAAAATAATATGAATACTTAGAAAAATATCGGCTTCTACACAGAGGGTTAGGGAGTTACCGACCAACAAAAGAGACTTGTGCAAATGCCGCAATCCTGACTATGACACAAACAGTGTTTATCAAAGACATGCTGATTGACAACATTTCTCTGTTACCTCCCTTTCCCGGAGACGTGGAAGTGATCTCCCTTGGAACCCTTGCATCAGACAATTCTGAAAACATGGCTGGGGAAGGCGAGATCATAAACCAGGCTCCACAGATTCAAAACAGACAGCCGCATCTGTCTAAACAGGATATTACACATCTCGTAAGTATTGTTTCTAAATTTACTTTTAGCATTCTGATTATAATCGTTTTTTTTTAAACGTATGCGCCCTCTGCCACTCTGGCTGCTAGACTGAAAGTTTCACCCTCAGCCAATTAATTTTTAATTTTATAGTCAATGACGATAGTTATCATGCCATATAGTATAGTGATAGTCCCAGTCTCGACGGTACTTAGCCTCAGCCTGACTGAATGGCAGACCCAGACTAACAGGGCAAATCCCAGATAGTTATACTACTTCGTTCAACACCCAAAGACGTTATGATTCACATGATTATCATGATTGGTTTGGAACCGTAACGCCCGGCTTCACGAACTGACCAACTCCACTCCACTCACCAACCTATGCTTCTGTAATAGTAATAATTTGACTGTATTTAGTACACTCCCTTCACCTCTCTCTCTCTCTCTCTCTCTCTCTCTCTCTCTCTCTATCTCTCTCTCTCTCTCTCTCTCTCTCTCTCTCTCTCTCTCTCTCTCTGTCTCATTTTCTTTAACTACAGGCAACCAACTTGATATCCACATAATTATTAATAAAACTTAACTTTCAACTTACTGAACAGTGACAGTTGTATTAGCAACACACATTTTCTGTACCCTCTTTACTCTTTCTGTGCTTTCTACTTGCTGTACTGACTCTCAACAGCTTACTCCTGTAGTGAGTTGGCTGTGTCAGCTGTGTGTGTTTAACAACTCAAACCCACATTGTTATCTATATCAATATCTTTTTATGTATTCTCTCTTCTCTTCTGACTTTTCACTTTGTACTCTCTGTCTCTCTTATTCTCTATGTCACCCCTCTGCTAATTTTCTATACTTTTGCTGCTTACATACTCTGTCTATATACTCTTTCTGTATTTTATATGTTATGCTCTATCTTCAGTACTCTCCTTCTCTCTGTGATAATCTCAGTTCTCTTCATTGCCTTCTGTACTCTCTATTGCTATCTTTCTCTCTCTCGCCGCCATTTTTTACTCTACTTTCTCTATATTCTCTGTAATCTGTTTCAACATTCGTTGAGTTTTTTAGTCACAGTTCACTGGATTAATTTCTTAATCTGTTTCAAGCAATCACAAACATACCCATTTCTAATCAGTGTGTATAACAGAGTACTGATTTCCTTACAGGATATCAAATCATTGACACCGTTGTCTCCAGACGTGATCTCTAGACAAGCCACGATCAATATTGGTAAGTAAGAAAATATCAGAGTTGAGGGTTTTGGTTGTAAAGGGTTTTGGTTTTTTCGGTCACAGGCGTGAAGGAAATTTGAGGCCATTGTGATGCATGTAAGGAGATCCTCCATACCTCACCGCAGGCACCAACATATTGTGGTCAGATTGATAAAACAGCATCGAGGATGTTTAAATGTCTACACCAGAAAAAAATTGGTTTTGTTTAACCTTTTTGCCGCGCGAGTACAAAAAAAGGGGGACGGAAGTCATGAACACCTTAGTGAACTCCTAGTGACAGAATGAAGCATATGAATTTGACATATCCATGACATCATATGCCCTAGCAGCCTCTTTTTTTTTAAAGGGAGAATACCCATTCAGGTTTCAGAGGTCCTTGTGTGTGGGGGTGGGGGGGGGGGGGGGTGAAAATAGTCTCACTGCCCTCTAGCATACGTGAAGTAAAATGTGGCTAATTGAGTGATTTGCTGAAATCAAATATTTTAGGCCAAAATACATTTATTGCAGCCTAGCTGTAAACCACAACATGAGCCCCAACCATTGTTTTAATAGTGAACCCAGAAGAAGAAAGGGATAAGCTAGGCAGGTATCCTAGTTTACCTGTATTTGTTGATTCCAATGTTTAGCCGCTGGATGTATAAGAGGAAGATTACAACATGCATACAACCTGTGTGCTACTTGAATGATCAGCATCTCCACCTTGAAACAGGGCTATTCAACTGTTGGCCATAGAGGTCTAACCATGACCCCTGGATCATTACCAGTTGTACCGTTTTAATGATCTTTCTTAGCTGGGGCTCGGGCCTCTAGCCTATAACATCCCCATTCTCAGAATGTTGGCCCAAGGTAAACCTAAATGAATAGCCCTGATCTACACCTTAACTCTTTCAGACCCATGAATTTTGACAGTCTTGGCTCACATTAATTTCCCTTTACAAAAATGGCAAAAAGGAAGGGGGGGGGGGGGTGTAAAAAAAAAAAGGCAATAGAGAATTTAATATACTTCTAATCCATACAATAGTATATTTAAAAAAAAAAAAAAGAGAAATGAATGTACATTGTGAATCTGGTGATCATAGTATGTTTTCAACTGTTATAGTTAGTAGGAAAGAAGAATTCATTAATTGTTAATTTCACAACAAAATTTTACGAACAAAATTCTTTATTTACCATAGTTTGGCAGCCACAGGAGCAGTGAATATCCAAATTTGAGAATAACACTTTAAAGTTTGTTCAATTTCCTAATAAATTTCAAGGTTATGAAAAGTTTCTGGGTTAGTTTATCACTCAGGGGCTCTAAGTTCTCACAGAGTGCTGAACACAATATCAAATTAAAAAAAATGGCAGAATAGTGTACCACTGCACACACAATATTTACTTTGTAGTTATATACAGACTATAGCTGCAATGATTTCAGTGTAGCTTAGCCTCAGTATGGTACTATCTTTTTTGTTTTGTTTGGGGCACTTTTCTTCTCTTACACCCTAAAGATAGTAGCAGAGGAACATTCTCTGTGTCAGACTCATCAGAACTGCTAGAACTAGATTCTCTAACAGCTGACTGCTCAGCTGCTGCTGGCGTAAATTCACAGTCCAAATCATTTTCTGAAAAATCTAAATTTGCATTATTATCAGAATTAAAAACATCTGACTGAAACAGCTTCAGCTGCAGAAAGACGCATTGTGCGGCCTGTACTTGTGGATGGAACATTGGTATCCATAACGTCGAACACAAAAGTACAAAATGCTCTGTCTAGAAATGAACGCTAGCAATACTTTAATGGTAGTTCCAACCATTAAAAATGGTGCTGTAAGTGAATCAGTATGTTCGGGACACGTGATCGACGCAGAGTGTTATTTGGGCAAATCATAATTTCTCAATCAACACTGACAGCGTTGCTGGGGCCTCAAAGAATTAAAACATTTGCTGCAGGAAAGTGGTCATAAATTAATTGAAACTGTTTGTTTGAGGTGTTCAAGAATGTTCCTACTTTCAGGTACAATTGGTCATGTGGCTCATGGAAAGTCTACAGTGGTGAAAGCAATCAGCGGTGTCCAGGTAACCCCAACAAGGATAGTTTTGTTTCATTACCTGTAGGCTTCATACTTTCATGGCTGGCAGCCTAGGGTTGAATTGTTTCCCATAGTAAAAATATTTGCACATTTCATCAAAAGTTACTGCTTTATTTAACAATTTTTAAAATGAAAAAAGAAAGAGAGAGAGAGAGAGATTGCTGTGAAATGTTCATATTGTCTTATAATTGCCTGCCATCCCTGATAAAAAATATTTTCCGCAGTATGGTCACAGTCATTATCATGTCAGTGGAGTTAAGGCCCCTTCACATGCCATTGTCGCATCAGGTATATGAGGCTAGACTTGCAGAGAATCGGAAAACTTTTCACAATTAAAATATCTGTAACAAAAACATTTTACACAATGTATTGCCTTGAGTATTTCGTTGTCTCTCTTCAGGGTCATTGATACAGTTCACATCAACACACACTGAAAGCACAATATTTGAATACTTTTTTAACTGAAACACCTAAATCATAATTTCTCTTGTTACACTAGATGTTTAACCATTGGAAGTCTAAGATTAACTGTGTGATCTTTTTGTTTACATAACATGGGATTGCTCGTCATTGTGCACTTCACTGCAGTGACTCACAAAAGAGCAAACTGTACATAAAGTGAAATACTTTATAAGGTGACAAGGGCAGCAACATATAGCTTGTGTTAAAAAATGTTTGTATATTTTTTTGCTTTCATTAATAAAACCCATTGTAGATTAGTGTTCAATATGTTATAATGTGAGGGCCCTTTGGGAGTGAGTGAACAGTGCAGAGGATCATAATGGTCTAAGGAGAATGGCATTGCGAGGAGTTACCAGGAGATCTGGCCGACGCTCAACACTCAAGGGAAGGATGAGATGAATATACAATCAGATGTAGCGTCGGAATCGTAACTTCGCTTGCTGCTGAAGATGAGGACTGAGCACTTATGGGAGTATCCCGAGTGCTGTGATGTCGATTCAACATTAAAATGTTATGCTAGTGTTAATGCAACACTTTCCCTTGAGATGGCAATACCGTGCCAACTGTAAAAGAACAAATTAATTTCAAAGCTGTACGCCTTAGGGTACAAAAGTAAAAAGGACTCCTTTCCACGCCTTTGGGTGTATTTCAGGTGTATTGGGAGTACAGGGCTAGACCTGTATTTTATAGACCAGTCGGCACTCCATGGGTGATGTGGTCAGCACCACACTGACCTCCTTTACTTCCCAGGACTTTACCTGGTAACCCACTCAAGGCTAGGACAACCTGGAAACCAAGGTCATTTTTTGGGGGGAAAAGTCTGACTTCATTTGGATTCATGGCCTTTAGATCTGCAGATGAACATCTAAATGCTACACACCACTGTGACTCCCACAGTAGGATATGTCATGTTCATATTTATTCATGATCATTTTGGTGTTATAGGTTTTGTATTCAGTCACGTTTAAATACTTCACATACAGTTTAGAATTTAAGTAAACGATTCCACAACTTGTTGTTCGTAGTCTGGATGAATAGTGATGTTTAAGTGTAGCTGAGGGGGAAAAAGGGGTGTAAAATAAATGACTGCACAGAGGCCTCATACTACTTAAATATGACCATGCTTATAGGTTGTTAGCTACCTTCATTGCTTGTGATGATTTTTTATTTTAAATGATGCAGTATATTTCAGACTGTCAGATTTAAGAACGAACTTGAAAGGAATATTACAATCAAGCTGGGCTATGCTAACGCCAAGGTAAAGACTGTGGTCTGTGAGTTTGTGTATATGTATTTCTGCACCTAATTGTTATGTTCAGTATAATGTATTTCTGTATTTATTTGAGCTATTGCTAAGAGCACAGGGCTTTTTGTGAGTGTTAGATGGTAAGGAAGGAAACAGATCTCTTAACTTCATTTATGTGACTCCATATTTGAGGAGACTGCACTGTATGTGTCAGTTGAAGTAAGAAAAAAGAGTTCTTATAGTCTGTTAAGTAAAAAGTAAAGTAAAAGTAAAGGACCCTTTTCCACGCCTTTAGGCATATAGGGTTAGACCTGTATTTTATAGACCAATCAGCCCAAGATGGGTGATGTGGTTAGCATCATGCCGGCCGCCTTTACTTTCTGGGACTGCACCCAGTACCCACTCAAGGCTGGGTCGACCTAGGAGGCAAGGTCATTTTTGAAAAAAAAAGTGTGTTAAGGTCACTCTTGATATTTGGAATTGAATCATGGACAGTCAGCTAAATAGTGAAATATTACACAGAAGCTGTGGAGATTTACACTCACCTGTAGATCGGAAGGTCATGGGTTTAAATCCACATGGTGCCATATTTTTTTTCAAACACGAACACGTCTACCCAGCCTTAAATGAGTGCCAGGTAAAGTCCTGGGGAGTAAAGGCATCCAATGTGGTGTTGATCACATCACCCACTGAGTGCTGATTGGTCTATACAAGTCTCGCATCATATGCCACTGGTGTGTAACAGGTTCTTGACCTACTTTATTGTGGAGCTGTAGTTTTATAGACACATGATGCCAACACCAGAGACAAAAAATGAACAGAGTAATGAAGTTATATTGAAAGAGGTTAACTCATAAAGATAACTTTTTGCCTGCATTAGAAGAGACACTCTACATTTTTTTTTTTTTTCATAATGTGAGAAATGGCAAACTGGAGTACAGTATGCAGGTGGGGAAAGTTAGTGGGATGAGAAGGAGAGGGAGAGAAAAGATATTGGACAGTTTGACATCATGGCACATGACATGGAAGGTCATCTGTGTCTGATCCCTGTGTGGGTTCCTGGGCCCCGTTGTTCAGAAAACAAGAAAACCCACTGCTTGACTTGATATAGAAAAAAAAAAATAATAAACTTGGACTCTTCAATGTACCCTGGGGGTCTCATTATAATTGGGTCCGTTGTTTGCGTGAGGTTTTGATTGTCCTTCCTTGTGTGGCGTGTTGGTACGCCTGACCATTCCCGATTGGTGTAGGGATGCCACTGGATAATGTGTTGGTCATACGATTTTTGCTGGTTGCCAGTTTACGCTGCCAAATCTTGCATCAAAGCTGCCTCCCGGTGGTGGGGCAGCCCATGTTGCTGAGTCTAGTTGTGGCTGCCAGAATCTTTTCTATGATGTCTGGCCAGCTGCTTTTGCCAATTACAGCGCTGCCAGCGAGTCAGTGAGAATGCACATTTTAGCTGGAGGGGGGGGGGGGTCGTCAATCGTCGCTTCAAGGGCCTTCAGGATAGCTATTAGCTCTGCGGTGTAAACCGCTGTGTTGTCTGGGAGCCTAAGGCTTATTACTGTGTTGCGGTCCGAAATGACGACCCCTGACCCGGCCTCCCCGTTTTTGTTCTTGGAGCCGTCAGTGTAGACTGCCAGGGCACCTGTTGTGATCGTGTTGATGTGGTTCTCTACTATTCTCCTGACTTAGCTGGGATCTGCATTTTTGAGTGCTTGTTTGGCGAGGCTGATGTCAGTCGTGGGAAGTTCAATTCGCCACGGTGGCAGTGTCCGCTTGAACTTTGTGCAGTTATTAACTATGTCTGCCACCTTGTCGAATTGTAATTGCTTGACGACTAGCCATGGTGTCGGTCTTTGAAAATTTTGGATGGGTTTTGAAGGCCCCTCCCAGGGGTCCCGATTGGGTTGAAGGGCCCTGGTGGCTGGGTGGTCGGGGTCGCGGCCTACTTTGGTCCAGAAGTTTAGCACTAATTGTCGCCGTCTTAGTTGAAGGGGAACAACTCCCAGCGCGACCTTCATTGCCTCTCTGCAGGCCCCTCTCCCCAATCCATAGATTGTGGTAAGTGTTTGTCTTTGGAGACCATCTAGTTTCTGTAGGATGTTCTGGCTATCTGCCCCGTAGACTGTGAAGCTGTAGTCTAAATTCCCCCTTATGATGTGGGCACCCCATCCGGTCCCTTTAATGAGCCTTAGCATGTTAAGGTACTGTTTGCATCTAGCTGTGGCCTTGACGTGTTTGCTCTAGCTCAGCTGCTGGTCTAGCACTTGAAACTTTGTGTGCAGCTTTCTTTGAACTGTGCGGCCATTAATGATGATGTGGCTTTCGTCGGGGTTGTACCTTTTGACTCCTTTGTTGTTGAAGATCATCATGACCGACTTGGCCACGTTGATCTTAAACCCCCATTTCGTCATCCAGTCTGTTATGTGGTCAATTTCTTTCTGCAGGGTGTTTTGAGTGACTCTAGTGCCTGTATTACTGTGGTACAAAGCACTGTCGTCGGCAAATTGAGATAATTCCACCTCAGGGTTCTTAATCGCCTCCCTCATGTCGTTGACTAAGATGTTAAAGATGAGGAGGGAGATAACTGCCCCCTGGGGGGTGCCGTTCTCCAGGATGCGAGCTCTAGAGACTTAGTTATTCACTGCCACTGAAAATGTTCGGTCCCTAAGAAAGCTTCTCACATACCGGAGGGTGCGGCCTCTTATACCCAATTTGTGTGCTAAGTCCAGGAAGACAGCGATAGTTCTTTTTCTCTGTCTGAAGCCCCTTTTGACATGGTCCTCTAGTTTGATAATTTGGTCCATTGGACATTTTGTCCATTGGACATTTCAGCGTAGAATCCCGACTGTGTGGGGCTAAATAGATTATTATTGTTCATGTGGAAGGAAATTCCATTGTTGACTATTGAAACCATGATTTTTCCTAGGTGGGAGGTGAGGGAGATTGGGCGGTAGGAGTCGACATTCTGTGGGACCTTTCCGGATTTGAGGATGGGAACGACTACGGCCTGCTTCTAAAGCTGTGGAATCTCGCCTTCTCGCCACACTGGGTTGAAACCCACTGCCTCCCCAACAAGCTTGTTTTATGAGTCGGCTAATGGGAAACAACCAGCACACAACCAGTAAAATGGAGGTACATGCAAAACTCAGGCCCTGGCACAAAGTCCAAATGGACGAACAACCAGGACTTTCCACCACAGCTTAGAGCTGGTGTACAAAGAAAAAGAAGATTTGTGTCAGAAATGATTGGAAATGCATGAGACAGAAGGCGGTGTGAAGACATGACTACATGCAGCATAGGCTGTCATGATTCAGAAGGCGGTGTGAAGTTATGACTACATGCAGCATAGGCTGTCAGAAGAAATATGGAGGCCTTTCACATCATTGACACATCAAAGCTGCCTAACCTGATGGCCTTGTTTGTTTCTCTCACAGATATATCAGTGTGATAATGATGCTTGTCCTAGGCCCGACTGTTACAGGTCTTGTGGTAGTGCCAAGGAGGATTCATTTGTCTGTGACAGACCTGGGTGTAGTGGAAGGTTCAGACTGAAAAGGTGGGTATAAAATGTATGTGTTTGTGAGATGATAGAAGCTTTACCGGCTAAACTTGGATGAGAGGAAACCATACTTTCATAACCATCCTTATCAACCTGTTCTACCATTTAAACATTACATAGGGACAGCAATCTATCCCTCCATTCTGTTCTATCCCTGCAGTTTTCTTGCTGTTATGGATGGAATTCAGTCCAGCATCTTTGGCCTCTGTTATCAGTGTTTGTTTGTCTTAAGGTTTATTTTTGAGCCAGATTGTGTGCATGAGTAAGTAACCACTGATTTCAACAGAGTGACTTTCATCATCAACTGTCAAACATGCATTCTGTGCACTGCACACAACGGTTCTAAATAGTTTGCCAGAATGGCTTCTTTTTCTGCAAGTTTCTATAGCAAGTTTTTTGGGAGTTTGTTTTACAGAGTAGGGAAGCTAAACTATACTCGACCCTCCTTCTATCTCATTTAGACTTGGGACAGGCAAATGGTGGAGTTTAAACTAGACTTTGCTACTTCTTATCTAGCCTTTGTCTTTGTCTGAGTAGTTTTAGTTTTTGTATGGTCTAATCTACCCTTTGTTAGCATCTGGTGCAACCTTTGCCTACATCTAATCTAGCCTTTGTTAACATCTTTGTAATATGTGCCTACATCCAGTCTAGCCTTTGTCAACATCAAGTGTAACCTTTGCCTACATCTAATCTAGTCTTTGTCAACATCAAGTGTAACCTTTGCCTACATCTAATCTAGTCTTTGTCAACATCAAGTGTAACCTTTGCCTACATCTAGTCTAGCCTTTGTTAACATCAAGTGTAACCTTTGCCTACATTTAGTCTAGCCTTTGTCAACATCAAGTGTAACCTTTGCCTACATCTAATCTATCTTTTGTCTACATCTTGTGTAACCTTTGCCTACATCTAGTCTAGCCTTTGTTAACATCAAGTTTGACCTTTGCCTACATCTAATCTATCGTTTGTCTACATCTTGTGTAACCTTTGCCTACATCTAATCTAGTTCCCCGTGTGAGTTCCGGGGCCCCATTGTGGGGAAAACAAGAATCGACCCACTGCCTACCCAAAAGCATGTCGTAAGAGTGGACTAATTGAGGAACTTCCTTTGAAGTCGGAGTGTGCGTCTGCCTGAGAGGCAAGGAACCAACAGTCTGCACTCAAGTGAATGAGATCTGTAAAACTGATGCACATGCAACACTCAGGTTCTGGAGCAGGAGTGCACTTCAGAAGTGGACGAACAACCAGAACTTTCCTCCAGAGTGTACAGCTGGTGAACGTGAAGAAGAAGAAGATCTAATCTAGTCTTTGTCAACATCAGGTGTAACCTTTGCCTACATCTAATCTAGTCTTTGTCAACATCAAGTGTAACCTTTGCCTACATCTGATCTAGCCTTTGTCAGCATCTGAAGCAATTATGTAGCCCTTGTCTGTACATCTAGTGTAACCTTTTGCCTACATCTAATCTAGCCTTTGTCAACATCTAGTGTAACCTTTGACTGCATCTCATCTAGCCTTTGTTAATATCTAGTGTAACCTTTGCCTACATCTAATCTAGTCTTTGTTAACATCTAGTGTAACCTTTGCCTACATCTGATCTAGCCTTTGTCAGCATCTGAAGCAATTATGTAGCTCTTGTCTGTACATGATGGTGGCTTTGCCTACAACAAATGTAGCCTGTACCTACTTTTTTCCTAGTATCCATTGTCAACATAAGATATAGGTGTTATCACTGCCCATCATAATACATTGGGAAAAAAGGGGGGGGGGGGGGGACACGATTATTGTCTTTGTTTTTGCTTTTTCATTTGCATTGTGACCGAACACTTAGGACTTCTCTTATGTATGTTCGATAGTTGATGGGTAAAAATGGATGTAAATAGGGAGCATTTACAGTGTTGATGTATATTTTTTCTCAACTCTGGTTTTTGTCAATCAGTTTATTAACCCTGTTAATGACCAGCTCCTAAAGATATGGGGTAAACTTCTTGAGATGGGATGATTAAATCTGTGAGATAGTTTGGGGTAAACTTCTTGAGACGGGATGATTAAATCTGTGAGATAGTTTGGGGTAATCTTCTTGAGATGTGATGATTAAATTGGTGAGGTAGTTTGGAGTAAACTTCTTGAGATCATCATCATCAGTACTCGTTATGCCTAGTGGCACATGAGGCTTCAGAGAGGGCTTTCCATGCTTTCCTGTCCTGTGCAATCTTCAGTGCAGTTTTCCATGTCAAAGATGCCGCACTCAGGTCACTTTCCATCGTTCGTCTCCATGTTGTTTTTGGGCGCCCCTGTTTTCTCTTTCCCTCTGGTGTCCATGTGAGAGCTGTTTTGGCGGGTAAATCAGGATTCATTCTCATAACGTGGCCAAGCCATTTCCATCTTCTCTTGGTTATCATACTGTCTAAAGTTTCTTGGTTTGTGACTTAAAGTAATTTAGTGTTTGAGATTGTATCTGGCCAGAAAACTTTGATAATTCTACGTAGACATGGGTGGTGAAAGGTGGACAGCTTGTGTGTATCCTTTTTGGTCATTCTCCAACATTCAGCTCTATAAAGAAGAACTGGCAAAATGATGCTCTTGTAAATTTCTTGAGATGGGATGATTAAATCATTGAGATAGTTTGGGGTAAACTTCTTGAGATAGCATGATTAAATCATTGAGATAGTTTGGGGTAAACTTCTTGAGATTGCATGATTAAATCATTGAAATAGTTTAGGGTAAACTTCTTGAGATGGGATGATTAAATCAGTGAGATAGTTTGGGGTAAACTTCTTGAGATGGCATGATTAAATCAGTGAGATAGTTTGGGGTAAACTTCTTGAGATGGCATGATTAAATCAGTGAGATAGTTTGGGGTAAACTTCTTGAGATGGCATGATTAAATCAGTGAGATAGTTTGGGGTAAATTTCTTGAGATGGCATGACCAGTATCTTGAGGTGGAGTGAAGTAGGTGACCGTTAAATAGGATTACTAGCATCTTGAGATGAGCCAGTTTCCTCGGTAAATGAGATGGTCACCTTCTACAAGTCAGTCCTCAGAGATGGAATGACCAAGTTGTGAAGTAATCTTTAATGAGATGACCAATGCCTTAAGATATTATGAACAGTTCTGTAACACAGAGGAGTGGCCAGCTTATGGACTTGAGATAATTAGCCCCCCGATGTGGGGTGATTAATTCCTTATATTGGCCAGGAAAATCTCATATATGAGATGACCGGCTCCTTGAATTGGGAGTAAATTCCTATAGATAGGATGACCATACTGCCCCCCCCCCCCCCCCCCCCAAAAAAAAAGAAAAAAACTAATCAGAACTTGAATTTGAACCTTGAAAATGTTGACAGACCAAAACAATGCCCACTGTGCAGCCACTGCTTCATATCTGATCGGACCACTGACCAAGGCATTTGCCTACACCAGACTAAATCTGATCTGACCAAGGCATTTGCCTACATCTGACTAAATCTGATCTGACCAAAGCATTTGCCTACATCTGACCACATCTGATCTGACCAAAGCATTTGCCTACATCTGACCAAATCTGATCTGACCAAAGCATTTGCCTACACCAGACCAAATCTGATCTGACCAAAGCATTTGCCTACATCTGACCAAATCTGATCTGACCAAAGCATTTGCCTACACCAGACCAAATCTGATCTGACCAAAGCATTTGCCTACATCTGACCAAATCTGATCTGACCAAAGCATTTGCCTACACCAGACTAAATCTGATCTAACCAAAGCATTTGCCTACACCAGACTAAATCTGATCTGACCAAAGCATTTGCCTACATCTGACCAAATCTGATCTGACCAAAGCATTTGCCTACATCTGACCAAATCTGATCGGACCAAAGCATTTGCCTACATCTGACCAAATCTGATCTGACCAAAGCATTTGCCTACACCAGACCAAATCTGATCTGACCAAAGCATTTGCCTACATCTGACCAAATCTGATCTGACCAAAGCATTTGCCTACACCAGACTAAATCTGATCTGACCAAAGCATTTGCCTACACCAGACTAAATCTGATCTGACCAAAGCATTTGCCTACATCTGACCAAATCTGATCTGACCAAAGCATTTGCCTACATCTGACCAAATCTGATCTGACCAAAGCATTTGCCTACATCTGACCAAATCTGATCTGACCAAAGCATTTGCCTACACCAGACCAAATCTGATCTGACCAAAGCATTTGCCTACATCTGACCAAATCTGATCTGACCAAAGCATTTGCCTACACCAGACTAAATCTGATCTGACCAAAGCATTTGCCTACATCTGACCAAATCTGATCTGACCAAAGCATTTGCCTACATCTGACCAAATCTGATCGGACCAAAGCATTTGCCTACATCTGACCAAATCTGATCTGACCAAAGCATTTGCCTAAACACGATCCTAAGCAGCATCATTGTGTTCTTGGTTGATTTGTGTTTCAGGCATGTGTCCTTCGTGGATTGCCCGGGCCACGACATTCTGATGGCTACCATGTTGAACGGAGCTGCTGTTATGGACGCTGCCTTGCTGATGATTGGTGAGCAGTTTGATCCTGTAGACGCCTGCAGTGTTTTTTAATTATTTAACTTTTAGAAGTTGGCCACAACACATTTCCAGCATTCTCTGTCATCTTAGTAGTACACTCTGTTAGACTGCTATTCATCCATCTCTTGATGTTGTATCATTGTCTACCTCTTGCTTTCCTACTTTAAACTTTTCTCTCCAGTATGGTTTTTCCTAAGAATGTTATGTCTTTTAGTGTGGCTGAAATATTTCAGTTCTCTTTTTTTTTTTTTAGTACCTCATTTAGTACCATTCTCCAGATCTGCTGTGTCTGTATTTGATTGTTTTTGTTTCCATGAAATACAGTCCTTTCTTCTGAGACGTCGGTTTTAGTTGCTTTTTCATTGTCCAGTGTTTTCTGCACCACACAGCAGGGTTGAGTATACAAAACACTTGATGATTCTCATTTTTAATGTGTTATCTCTCTAGGTGTCAGTAATTTGGCATCTTATTGACAAATATGTTTAGCCATTCCCGTTCCCGATTTGATTTCTGTTTCACTTGGACCATCAGTTATTATAACATTTCCCATATCCTTGTTTCTAATATCCCTCTGCTGAATGTTGGCTGCTTCTTTCCCTTGTTGATGGTATTTTTAGTTTTTCAAATATCTGAACCATACTCATCACTCCTCCTGTTAACTTGGTGATAATCTCTTAAAATAGAATAAAAATGTATGCGCCGTCTCCACAGGGAAGGTAGGCTACAGTGAGTACCCAAACTTTTCCACGGTGCAACTCTCATAATTCTGTCCGAAAACTGTGAATACTATGTTTTTTAAACCATCCACTGCAGGAATTGAACCCTAGTACTTGAGGATCATGAAGTTGTTAAGCATATTTGCTAACCTATAGGCTACAAAGCTGCATGATAATCTGTGGCCCACTCGCTAAGCTGTTGGCCTCACACTGAAGGTTGTGTTTTTATCTCACCGACTGTATTATTCAGTTCATGTGTGCAGTCTTTATAGAAATCCTTGGGGATCATAAGTGAAGCTTCGGTGTCTGTGCTTTGTGCAACATTCTCATCATGCAGCTAGCCATTCTGCAGACGAAATGTAATATGAGATGAAAACCCAGTGCCTGGATGTAGGTCCTCTTAACTCTAGATGTTAGTGATGTGCCAATTTGCCAGGACCTGATGATTTCTTTCTAAGCTTCTTCTTCCTGTTCATTTATTGCAACAAGTTGTCTGTTCTCTTCATATCACAGTATCTCACTTTTTTTTTCAGCTGGAAACGAGTCTTGTCCGCAACCTCAGACATCAGAACATCTGGCCGCTGTTGAAATCATGAAACTCAAACACATTCTGATACTTCAAAACAAAATTGATCTAGTGAAAGAGTCTCAAGCCAAGGAGCAATACGAGCAGATTCAGGCTTTTGTCAAAGGTTTGTGTGTCCAGTGTGATGTTTATCTACACCATTAGCTTTCAACCTTCCTAATGCCGCGACCCTTTAATAAGTTCGTCATATTGTGGCGACCTCCAACCATACAGTTTTTTTCTGTTGCTACTTCATATATTTGATGAATATGTGTTTTGCGATGGTCTTTGGTGACCCCTGTGAAAGGATTGTTTGACCCAGAGAAAGGGTTGCGACCCACATGTTGAGAACCGCTGATCTGCACCAGTGTCACAAACGTGTGTTAAAAAATGTCTGCCCTGTCAGCTGCCTTGACACTTATTTTAACATAATTCCTGTGTGGGCTTTGGGGGTCACCGCGTGGGTTCTGGTCTGGGGGTCACCGTGTGGGTTCTAGAGTCCCATTGTGTGTGTTCTGGGAGGTGGGGGTAAACTTATTGCCCCCTAACAAGCATGCCATATAAGGCAACTAATTAGGGGTTTGCGAAGCTGTCATGGTGTAGCAGCTAGATGCTTGCCTGTGGATCTGAAGGTCGTGAGTTAAGGTCCAGATTGAGTCGGACATTTTTCAAAAATGACCTTGGCTCCCCTTTTGACCCAGTCTGAAATGTGTACCAGGTAAAGTCTTAGAAAGTAAAGGCGGCCAGAGTAATGTTGACCACATACCTACCGAGTGCCAGATGGACTAAAATATAGGTCTAGCCCGATATGCCTGAAGAGAGTCCTTTACTTTACTTAATAAGATGTGTTGAGCCGAATGGTGCTGTATCACAGCCTGTGACCCGTTTGCTATAAAGCTGAAATTCAGATTACCAGATTAGACTTCTGTTACATGTATTTATTTATCGTTACAATAAATGTTCATCTTTAATTTAACATATTTTGTGATAACTGCAAAATGTTATGTTATACATTGTATCTTGTATTTCTTATTTACTGTTATGAAATTTTGTTACACATTCTTCTTTCTTATTTAGTTACAAATAACAATGTTATGTGTGTTGTTACTTGAAGCGGTTTGTCGTTACCTTGTATAGGCACTGTGGCTGAAAAGGCACCAGTTGTACCGGTGTCGGCACAGCTCAAGTACAACATTGATGTCATCTGCGAGTACATCATCAAACACATTCCTGTGCCGGTCAGGGACTTCCTCTCGGAACCACGACTTATTGGTGAGCTAGTTTCTCTCATTAAAACACTTTTTTTTTTAAGTCATCTGCAAACGGCAAATTTTCTTACTTTGAATTATCAGGATCCATCTCAGAAGCGAAGTCCTAGTGTGGTTCATGGGTTTTTGTTTTAAGGGGAACAAAGAATCGATCCCCTGCCTTCTGACCAGCATGTCAAAGGGTGACTTAGATCGCAGTTTGTAGAAATGAGAAGCTTTTGGCTGAAATATGCCAAAATTGCAGCCTAGCTGTAAACCACAACACAATGTGCCAACCAGTCGTTTAAGGATGGATACAAAAGAGAAGCATAAGATAGGAGCACTGTAACTTACCTTTTTGTCAGGGAACACAAGAGAAACAAAGAATACTAACACTCTGTCTTACTGTCAGGGAACATAAGAGAAACAAAGAATACTAACACTCTGTCTTACTGTCAGGGAACATGAGATAAGCAAAGAATACTAACACTCTGTCTTACTGTCAGGGAACATAAGAGAAACAAAGAATACTAACACTCTGTCTTACTGTCAGGGAACATAAGAGAAACAAAGAATACTAACACTCTGTCTTACTGTCAGGGAACATGAGATAAGCAAAGAATACTAACACTCTGTCTTACTGTCAGGGAACATAAGATAAGCAAAGAATACTAACACTCTGTCTTACTGTCAGGGAACATGAGATAAGCAAAGAATATTAACACTCTGTCTTACTGTCAGGGAACATGAGATAAGCAAAGAATACTAACACTCTGTCTTACTGTCAGGGAACATGAGATAAGCAAAGAATATTAACACTCTGTCTTACTGTCAGGGAACATGAGATAAGCAAAGAATACTAACACTCTGTCTTACTGTCAGGGAACATGAGATAAGCAAAGAATACTAACACTCTGTCTTACTGTCAGGGAACATGAGAGGAACAAAGAATACTAACATTGTATTACTTTCAGGGAACATGAGAGGAGCAAAGAATACTAACACTCTGTCTTACTGTCAGGGAACACAAGGGAAGCAAAGAATACTAACACTGTCTTACTGTCAGGGAACACAAGAGAAACAAAGAATACTAACACTGTCTTACTGTCAGGGAACACAAGGGAAGCAAAGAATGCTAACACTCGGTCTTACTGTCAGGGAAAACAAGAGAAACAAAGAATACTAACACTGTCTTACTGTCAGGGAACATAAGAGAAACAAAGAATACTAACACTGTCTTACTGTCAGGGAACACAAGGGAAGCAAAGAATACTAACACTGTCTTACTGTCAGGGAAAACAAGAGAAACAAAGAATACTAACTCTGTCTTACTGTCAGGGAACACAAGAGAAACAAAGAATACTAACACTGTCTTACTGTCAGGGAACACAAGGGAAACAAAGAATACTAACACTGTCTTACTGTCAGGGAACACAAGGGAAGCAAAGAATACTAACACTGTCTTACTGTCAGGGAACACAAGGGAAGCAAAGAATACTAACACTGTCTTACTGTCAGGGAACACAAGGGAAGCAAAGAATACTAACACTGTCTTACTGTCAGGGAACACAAGGGAAGCAAAGAATACTAACACTGTATTACTGTCAGGGAACATGAGAGGAATAAAGAATACTTACACTCTGTCTTATTGTCAGGGAACATAAGAGGAACAAAGAATACTAACACTGTCTTACTGTCAGGGAACATAAGAGGAACAGCTAGAAACACCACAGTAACCGTAACTACTAAACCTATTGTTGTTAGGTGATACACATAGGGGTGGAGAATCGGCTAGAGAAAGAGACTTTCATGCATGTATTGAAGAGAACCACATTCTTTGAAGGACTTGCTGATTGACGATGATGAGGAAAATGGATTGGTATGAAGCTGGTCAGCTTGATTTGATTTGATTTGATTCAAGAACCGACATCACAGCACCCGGGGCATTCCCATAAGCGCTCCGTCTCCATATTCAGCAGCCAGCGAAGAGTTCCGATACTAATGGTGCCAGTAGCTTTCTGATTAAATGTCCGTCTTGCCTTTGCCTTGAGCTTCTGCCAGAACCTCTCGTCACTCCCCGCTGCATCAATCCCACCAGACTGTGGTGATCAATCTGCTCCTCGGAACTGTACACGCTCTCCCACAAGGCACTAACCACGTCTGCCCTATCATGTATCAGTATTTCACCAAGTTGTGCAGAGCCAGCCAGTCTGTCCGCCTGTTCATTTCCCAACACACTGGCGTGACCCGGTGAAAAAATCCAGACAATACTCCTCACCCGTGTCCTCTGCAGCGAAGCATGCCACTCTGCACGAAGCACACCTGTTCTGATCTTCCTCAGCATGCTTTCTGAATCAGTTACAATTACAATGTGTGTGTGTGTTGTGTTCTCTAGCCAGCGGAAAGCTGCAGTGACCGACTCCACCTAAATTCATAAACTGGATGTTGTGGTATCATATGCTAGGCTCTGCTGCACCAAACGTCGACCATTAACTTTTGCTAAAAAGCCCCTTGGTCAGCTTATCCCATATAAAAACTTGCAACCTTGAGGAAGTTTATGAATGACTTGGGTTGAGTGAGTTAAAAGCCTATGCTCCATTCAGAGATAAAAGACATTTCATCATGTCATTGTGCATTTTAATATTCAGTGTTTATTTGTCATGAAATTCAATATATATCTGCCATAAGTCAAGTAAAGGACTCTTTCCCAAGCCTTCAGGTGGAGCAGTGTCCATTGAGGGCTACACCTGTATTTTATAGACCTGTTGGTGGGCAGTGTGGTCAACATCAGGCAAGCCGCCTTTACTTCCCAGGACCAAAGCTTACCTATTTATGGCTGGGTCAGTATGGTAGCCACCTCTCGGCTCATTTTGGATTTGAACCCATGGCCTTCAGATCCACAGGCAAGCATCTAGCCGCTATACCATTTGTCATGAGGTTCAGTGGTTAATTGCCATGAAGTATACATTTTTGCTGTAATGATATTTTCAGGTTAATTGCCATGAAGTATACATTTTTGCTGTAATTATATTTTCAGGTTAATTGCCATAAAGTATACATTTTTGCTGTAATGATATTTTCAGGTACATTGCCATGAAGTATACATTTTTGCTGTAATGATATTTTCATGCTAATTGCCATAAAGTATACATTTTTGCTGTAATGATATTTTCATGTTAATTGCCATGAAATATACATTTTTGCTGTAATTATATTTTCATGTGATGTTATGTAACCATTTGCCCTGATGTTCTTTTTCATTTTGTGTACATTTCCTCCTCAAGTAATCCGCTCATTTGACGTCAACAAACCAGGCTGTGAGGTGGATGACATTCTAGGAGGTGTGGCTGGGGGTTCGATTCTCAGGGGTGTGCTGAAGGTACTATAGTCAAATATTTTAAATAAATAGAATTGTTTCCGTTGAAAACAAATATATACAGGAGAAGAACTGAACAAGTGAATGGTTTGTGTTAAGTGTATTAAGTTGACTTTCCTAATTTGAGGATGTGTGACATTAGTTATCTGTCTGTCCACAGCCGTTTATCTCATGTAATTTCTCATACTTCTTCTATGTTAAATGAAAAATCGACATTCCAGCACTGGGGACATTCCCATAAGTGCTGCATCCCCATCTTCAGCAGCAACTGCAGAGTTCCAGTTCTGATAGTACAGTAACAGGTGAACCAGTTCTTCCCTGGATGTTGTTTATCTCAGTCCCTTGTTTCTGCTTGCAGGTGAACCAGTTCTTCCCTGGATGTTGTGTATCTCAGTCCCCTTGTTTCTGCTTGCAGGTGAACCAGTTCTTCCCTGGATGTTGTGTATCTCAGTCCCCTTGTTTCTGCTTGCAGGTGAACCAGTTCTTTCCTGGATGTTGTGTATCTCAGTCCCTTGTTTCTGCTTGCAGGTGAACCAGTTCTTCCCTGGATGTTGTGTATCTCAGTCCCCTGTTTCTGCTTGCAGGTGAACCAGTTCTTCCCTGGATGTTGTGTATCTCAGTCCCCTTGTTTCTGCTTGCAGGTAAACCAGTTTTTCCCTGGATGTTGTGTATCTCAGTCCCTTGTTTCTGCTTGCAGGTGAACCAGTTCTTCCCTGGATGTTGTGTATCTCAGTCCCCTGTTTCTGCTTGCAGGTGAACCAGTTCTTCCCTGGATGTTGTGTATCTCAGTCCCTTGTTTCTGCTTGCAGGTGAACCAGTTCTTCCCTGGATGTTGTGTATCTCAGTCCCCTGTTTCTGCTTGCAGGTGAACCAGGAGATCGAGGTCCGTCCTGGGGTGGTCTCCCGAGATCAAGACGGCAAGCTGACATGTAGGCCCATTATGTCCAAGATTGTCTCCCTGTACGCAGAGCAGAATGATCTACAATATGCTGTCCCGGGAGGATTGATAGGTAAGATGACATGATGATTGATTGATCATTAGGGGATTGATAGGTAAGGTAAGCTGATGATTGATAGATCATTAATGGATTGATAGGTAAGGTAACCTGATGATTGATTGATCATTAGTTGCTTGATAGGTAAGGTAACCTGATGATTGATTGATCATTAGAGGATTGATAGGTAAGATGACGTGACGATTCATTGATCATTAGGGGATTGATAGGAAAGGTAACCTGATGATTGATTGATCATTAGAGGATTGATAGGTAAGATGACGTGACGATTCATTGATCATTAGTGGATTGATAGGAAAGGTAACCTGATAATTGATTGATCATTAGAGGATTGATAGGTAAGATAATAAGATGATTGATTGATCATTAGAGGATTGATAGGTAAGATGATTGATTGATCATTAGTGGATTGATAGGTAAGATGATAAGATGATTGATTGATCATTAGAGGATTGTTAGGTAAGCTAACCTGATGATTGATTGATCATTAGAGGATTGATAGGTAAGCTAACCTGATGATTGATTGATCATTAGAGGATTGATAGGTAACTTGAGGTTTGATAGGTTATGAAAATTAATAGGTTCAGGATTGAAGGATAACTTGATGAATTACTTGCAGTGTGATGATATAGTTGTAATTTCAAGATTGATAGGTAATTTGAGGATTGAAAATTGGTTTGAGAATTTATAAGTGATTTGTGAGTTGATAGTTCATTTAAATATTTATTGATGGTTGGTGGGGTTTAGGGATTGATGAGAGATTTGTGGATTGATGGGTGATTTGAGGATTCATGGGTGATTTCATGATTGACAGATGTATATTACTTACTGGAGTAGATAGGTCTTTGAAGGGTAGCAAAGATTAGTTCCTGGGATAAAGAAGTTTTATTTTTATACATCATGCGATTTATGCCTGGGCAACAACACTGACTTGATCCATGATTCTGGTGATCATGTGAGATTGCAGGCCATAGCTACTTACGTTATCGGCACGGATCTACCAGAGATAATTTTTGGAGCAGATCCATCTGCTGGTTTTGGCAGCTTATTATAAAATAGTTAACTTTTCTGGCTGCTGAATATGAGGATGAATCATTTATGGGAACCTTCAGAGTGTTTTGATGTTGGTTGTTAACTCACAACATAGTTATAGACTTGATGTTTACTGATGATTATGTGTATAATAAAACCAATTGAGTGTCTTGTTTTCGTGGTTTTACTTGTACTTTCTGTGTAGGTGTTGGCACAAAAATGGACCCAACCCTGTGCCGAGGAGATCGACTCGTAGGACAGGTCCTCGGAGCTGTGGGAGCTCTTCCTGATATCTTCACGGAACTGGAGATTTCCTTCTTCCTCCTGCGGCGGTTGCTGGGTGTCAAAACAGAAGGAGACAAAAAGGGTGCCAAGGTAGTGTATATGTTCTCTGTGTATACAGCATGAGCTAGTTGTAAAACAGGTCTTATTTCTGTTCTGCATATACACCAATTACTACAGTGTTTCCCCGAAAATAAGCCCTACCCCAAAAAATAAGCCATGGCACAACGTTTCAGGGTTCTTTTAATATACGCCCTACCCCAAAAATAAGCCCTGGTTATGAGCCAGAATTCAAAGACAAGAAACACTCATTTAAGGGAAGTTTTATTGCTGGACATGAGAGACTGGAGGTCATGGTTCTGCAGGAAATGGAGTTGCAAGAAATTCAGGTCAGAGTTTGGGATTTGGAGAGGTATGATGATGTTCCAGAAAAAGATGACGAGACTAGCGGAATGATGTACAATTTTGTACATGAATAAATGCATATTTGTGTATCTAAAAACAGATCAGGTTTTATTTTCAGGAAAACATGGTAAATGTTTAAAAAAAAATTATTAGTAATTGTCTTTGGATGCATACATCGGTGGTAGAGCTAAATGCTTCAAGTTTGATATTAGCGGTAACATGTTTTTTCTGTCAGAGATTTGTTCTATGAAAAAATTTCTCATGTTTTTTTTGTGTCTTTTTTTTTTTTTTTCAACTTGCTTCACCACTTTTGTATACATTATGTCTGATTATCTGTATAATTTCACCTCGTACCTCAACCATCCATTTTTATTTACTTGACTTATTTCTTGTTTTACTTATGATGATGTTTCTCCTGGGGACATCAGGTACAGAAACTTAGCAAGAATGAGGTGCTGATGGTAAATATTGGTTCTCTGTCGACCGGGGGACGCGTGTTGGCAGTCAGGGCAGATTTGGCCAAAATTGGGCTGACTGCGCCAGTTTGTACAGAAGTTGGAGAGAAGATTGCACTCAGTCGAAGAGTAGAAAAACATTGGAGGTAATTTTTATTTGCATTACCTGCAGTTTTTATTATTTAGAATATGTTAATGTTGTCATATTAATATACAATAGACTCTGCAATATCCAGTGGAAGGGTAGGCAGATAACAAAAAATGTTGTGCATGCCAGAGTTCTATAAATACCTAGTTTCTACCCCACCCATATAATTAAAACACCGTTTATTTATACCCCAGCCTGATCTAATTATTTTCTGATGTCTTTTTGGTACAGGCCAATACTTTATAAATGTTTCCTACTTACTGTACATTTTAAACATTTGTTAAGAAAAAATGAGGTCCAAAAATAAGAATATTGTTTGCATTTTGAGATACAATTGATAACTTAACTGCAGGAAAAATAAAATCACATGGCGCGCTCTTGCAACGACCTGGCAAAGTAAATTATTACTTATTTCATTACGAGAATTATTATTAATTTTTTTAAAAATTGGTCTGGATAAACACGAGCTGGATAATCGTGGTTCTTCTGTATTTGTTTGAGGGGAGGAAAGATGGCTCGGGATTGGGAGTATGTACATGGAGATATGCTGTATGGATATAAATGTGCTGTGTGGAGTGCATGACAGGCTAGATGTTATTAAGCGCCTCTTGGGAGCGAGACACCAGTGCAGAGATACAAATAGATGATCACGGTCTGAGGAGAAAAATACGAAATAACAGCTCAAATACCGAGCAAAAGCTTAGGCGTTTGAAACCCCGCAAATAAAGAGGGGAAAATATCATTGGAGAACTAACTCCAAGCACATAAACACTGTCTTCGAAATAACCACTGCTCAATCTAGGAGCCGGTTAAAAGAAGCGAGAATTTCTATTTTATTTTTTTATCTACACCAAGACCAATGAGGAGAATGGTGGAGCATGGAGTGACCAGGGGATCCACAGTCAGGGGAAGGACGAGACAATACAATCAGACTGTTACTGTAACTACTGGAATTGGAACTCTGCTTGCTGCTGAAGATGGGGGTAGAGCACTTGTAGTGCCGTGGGTTCCTACTTTTACTTACTTAGTCGCTCCTATCAACCTTGGGGTGTAGAGGTTTGCCAGAGAGATCGCCAGACGTCTCTATCAGCAGTTTGTTTTCTGGATTTGTTCCATGCCAGTCCTCTGTCAGTTAGGGACTGTCAGATGTTGTCTTCCCAGCGCACACTGGGTCGTCCCGGAGGTCTGGTTCCCTGGTTCTTAGCCTCCCATGCTTGCCATGGTGGCCGATTTTCTCCCATTCTGCATACATGTCCAAACCATCGTGACTGTCACTGATCCACTCGGGTTTATAAGGACTTGGTATCAAGATCTTAATGTATTGTCTGATTGCGGACTTTGTCTCTTCTTGTCACGCTGTGGGTTCCTAACTCGTATATACTCATGGATGTAGAATGTAAGGCCTCTGTATTCCAGATAAGAAGTTTGGTGTATTAGTATCCCAGCCAGCACTTGACAGGTTATGTAGCCACTATCATGTTGGCCACCTTTACTTTCCAAGAAATATTCCCCACCGCCTATTTGGGTCTACCAAGTCACTGAAATTCTTCACCTCAGAGGATTGGAACACATTACCACTTGATTATTGAATAGTGCTACTTTTGGGGCATCAACTCATTGACATGCACCAAACAACAACAAAAGCAGCGGCTAAATGCACTTTTTGTACCAACTTTGTGCTGTTTTATCTTGTACAGTCACTTCAGTAGCAAGGATGGAATCTAGTCCAGCATCCTTGGCCTCTCTCATCAATGTTTGCCTTATGGCTTCTCTAGGACACCCTCTTTTCTTTGGTTTCCCATTTCAGTGACACTGGAACCAGTATTAACCACAGTATTAGAAGTGTCACACCCAAACAATTTATTAAATATTATTTTGTGTGGGATTTTTAGTTTCATTTAGGATTCTTGGATCTGAAGGCAAAGATAAATTTATGAAAATGTTGTCATATTTTATTGGTCTCTATATAATTGTAGTCTTCGCCTATAAAATGACAGTCATAGAGCTTTCATCAACTAAAATTAATGAGTAATAACCTTTTGACACTTTCAGGTTGATTGGCTGGGGTCAGATCAGGCGAGGTGTCAAGATTACCCCCGACTCATAAATGGAAACTAAACAGCTAAAACTAGGACTGTGTTTTGTTATAAACCTCTCCACTAGATGCACATGTTCTTTTGTTGGCATTTGTTGATGTCCAATCTGCTGTTAGAATGTGTTGATGCATGACTGCCTTTTTTTTTCCCTAAAAATAAAAGAGGGGTAGATAAAGTGGTTGTTGAAAGTATGTCATGCACAAAACACATTCGCAAGAGTATAATAGAGTGATGGTTAATCGTACTTCCGTTTTCTTTACTATTAAAACTAAACATACAGAGACACAAGGATGGAAATTAAACAGCTTGAAACAAATAAGACCAAAGGGGCGGTCAGATGTTACATTAACTGTATATATAGTACAGTGTGAAAAAACAAAACGAGTAAGGTTTGTTAAAGTATGGTTATAAGAAAAAAAAAACCCACTTTATTGACAGTAGCATGCTGGCCATGTCACGGTAGAGATTGGGCCTCACCCAGTAATGCTCCCAGTGACGGCTTTAGCCATTTTTGATTGTAAAGATGGCACAGGATTTTATTAAAATAAGCAACGGCAGCTGAACTCAAATATCCACTGACAGAGAAGATTGGAGAGTCGTGCAGTTGTCTGCGCCAGTCCAGACTAATGGAGACGTTTATTTGATAATATTCTTGTATATTTGTTTAATGGTGTCTGAGAACATGTTAAAACTTTGGTTTGTTGGGTTTATGAAATCTTTGATTCTTAGTGAATGTATAATTTTGTTTGTTTCTCTGAGCTTCCTGTATTCCTTTGCCTAATATTTTAAACCTGTAAATAAATTATTTTAACATCAGCTTTCGGTTTTTGTGGTTGATTTTGTTTGAAGTACATGCTAGAAGTTAGAGCTTCACATGTGAACAAATCTGTGTTCATCTGAATACATAAATGCAATGCGCCTGCTGACAACATGGCTGCGATATTTGCACCTTTCAGATGACACATCTGATTTCTGCAGACATTTGTTGTCTGGGTTAGCCTTCCCGGGTAAACAGACCTGACACTCATGAAAAACTCTTTAATGCTCAGTCTCCCGAGTGTGTGTAAGCAAATGTTCCCCATAGCATGGCGGGTGTCTACTATTGTCTTTCATCCTCTAAAAAACCTTTCTTGTATCAATACCAGACCAATGGTTAAAAAATGTTAGTTTACTGGCGATGGTACGGTGGTTAACTGACCGGGGAATGAAACATGGAAAACTAGGAATATTCTAGGAATATATAGTTACACTGGCAGCAGGACAGAGTAACTTAGAGAATGTTCAAAGATTTCTAGTACACATGCTAATGAGAAGTGCAGTACAGGTAGCTAAAAGCAGATCTCTGTTGAAAAGAAATTTGTTGTTATCCCCCGCATGTTTTCTCATGTCTGGTCCAGCGGATATGCAGAACAATTAAACATATTCTAGTATAATCTGATCTGCTAAGGCAAATCTTTTTTAAATACTTGGACATTTTTACAACTCTTCAGCTATATTTGGAAATTGTATGCTTCATCACTGTTAGAATCTGAGTCATTTCTCCTTTTAAAAATTTGAAAACTTCTATTCTACACAAGACCGTTGTGCTTGACCAAAGAGGCACAAAGCACAATGGATCAAGAGGAGACAGCCACACAAGACCGTTGTGCATGACCAAAGAGGCACAAAGCACAATGGATCAAGAGGAGACAGCCACACAAGACAGTTGTGCATAACCAAAGAGGCACAATGGATCAAGAGACAGCCACACAAGACCGTTGTGCATGACCAAAGAGGCACAAAACACAATGGATCAAGAGGAGACAGCCTCATTAAAGAAATCCTGAGCTGAATGGCTGCAGGATATGCAGTCACAAGCGTGTAATATCTAGTTTGTAGGAGGGGCGACACCAGGCATTTCAATTCCATTTCTTTCCTAGCAAGCCGGCAGTACTAGGAAACCATTTACGTGCATTACGTTGAAATAATTTTTTCTACAGATTTTATACTTGAAAAGAATTATTGATAGAACTATGGAGTGTGCACTCTGTGCTTGATAACCTCTTCAGCTGGCAGTAAAGTGGGAAGAGGATGAAAGAAGGTCTTGAAATAGGTTGTAAACATATTACCATACGCGTGAACTCTTCTGAATAAGAGACATTTCTGATAAGAACTATTTCTTGGATTTCTGGTGAGTTCTCCTTATCAGGACAGCACTGCATAAGTTTATGAATCTCTGGCTGTGTAGTGGTGGCTTTGACTAAGTGGTCAGTTACATTTATTTAAGCCTGGCAACTTGGACTTTCAAACCCCTGCATATGTGGCCAGAATAGTGTTTTCCACTGACAGCAGTGTAAAACAAATAAGTATAGAAAGTATAAGTGGTCAGCTTTACATAAGCACAATGATTTTTTTTTTTAACGCGGCGGCTAGAAAGGTCTTCATCAGCATATAAAAACAACATGAGGCTCAATTTAGTTGAAAAATAATTAAAAGCAGCAGCAGATCCAGTATATAAACATTGTTTATTATTAATAATAAAGAATAACACATTACAAAATAGATAATTGTCAAGGCAATGTTTTATATGTGTAATATTTTTTGTAGATATCGGTGACTGGTGAAATGTTCTCGCCAGCAGCAGCTGATAGCACAGACAACAACAACAACGCAATATTGAGCGAAAAGCTGCGTCAAAATAAATATATTTATGTAAAAGCTCTCTTGTATTCAAGACTTGACAGTGCAATGATGCACAGGGATAACAATAGGCAAGCTTAGCTGAGTAAGTCTTCTTGTTCTTTTGGTCTGCCTGTCAGTGGTTTTCAGATGAAGTCTGTGGTGCGACGGATGTCTTCCATAGAGCTGGGTTTGCACTGAAATGCCGACAGGCCAAACATGGGGTCTTCTACTGCATCTAGAGACCATGTGCTTAGTAAGTAAAGGGCCCCTTTTCTGCCACTTGAGCACTGCTGGACTTGTGCAAGCCTGACATTTCTATAGACCAAGCTGAACTTGATGGATTATTCGGTCACAATCCTGTAATCCAAGGTCAAGCATAAAAAAATTGGCTACTGTGCAGATCTCAACCCCAGAAAGGTTGGCAAGTATCTAGCCAATACATTACTACAGCTCCCTTAGCTTATATAATCTTTAACAATGGAGACTGACCACTTACAGATTTACAGAGTGCAAACATATGATTTTACCAAATAACATGTCTGCAATGTTTTTAAGACACCAGCATTTGTTTATTTAATAAAATAATTTCTACAAAATTGCTGCTCAAGAATGGTAACACATTTTGTTTCCGTCATGCCACATTGTATTTCTGAATACATTTAGTCAGTCAATTAATTTCTAAGTCTGGGTTCCCCGCGTCCAATTTTAAAGAACAAAAAATAGACCTACCACCCCCTAACAAGGCATGTCGTAGGAGGTAAAGAAACAGATATGCTACCTCCAAAGTCAGAGTGCATCTGCCTGAGAGGCAAGGAACCAGCACATTAGCCAGACCTGTAAATCAGATGGGCACACAAAACTCAAATTCTGCAACAAGACCAATTCCAGAAGTGGACGAACAGCCAGAACTTTCTGCTGACACTATGAATAAGGAGAAGAATCAATCAGGTTGCTGTCTCCACAATTAATCTCCAACACTTCCTGCCTCACAACCCTGTGTACTTCTAAGCAGAAAGAAGGCGTTCAGCAGTAATCTATTTACTACAGTTATAAAAAAAAAAATACTGAAGTGATCCGACATGGAACAAGTTAATGGCACAGTCAACAACAACAACAAAAAGTATCTTGTCCCGCTAGTGTGTCATCCGGCATACGGTGCCGGATTCATGTTTTGTAAAGACCAACTGGCATTTGGTAATATGATCAATATCGTGCTGGCCACTTTTACTTCCCAGGGCGGTTTTTGATTGTAGGCTGTGTAGTTCTGGGAGCCAAGGTCACTTATATAAAAATATCTTAATGTAGATTCAGACCCAAAACTTTTGGGCGGAAGGCAAGTATTTTTTTAGATTATTTTTCTCATGAGGAAAATCTCATACAAAAGGATAGCGGTTCGGGAACAGTAATCTGGAAGGCACATTTCATATAAAGAGGGAAGTAACCCCAAAAATTCTGTCAGAAAAATATAGACATCTACTGTGTTCCATAGTGGATAATCTTCATGTTCTCCAGCTGTGAACTTCAGGGGCAAGTTCTGAGGTAACATAATTCCTTGTAGTCCAATGTTCTTGGTTAATTTCTCTTATGTTGTTCTTTCATAAAATAGACGTATATAGACAGCTGTACGTACATTTATATATAGATGCGGATAGACAGCTGTACATACTTTATATACAGATGCGGATAGACAGCTGTACATACATTTATATATACATAAGATGCAGACAAACAGCTGTACATACATTTTTTTAAATATATATATAGAGAGAGACGTATAAACAGCTGGACAAACATTTCTATATATAAAGATGCCTGTCAGGGATGATCAAAGCGGACCCATTTAATGGACCCCTTTTGTGTACCATAGGCCAGGCCAGGCCATAGTGCTACTCAAGTAAGTTTACTCAGGGACCAAAATAGGAATCGTCACGGGCCAGAGGCCGGAACCCCAACATAAAAAGATCATCAATACAATACAACTGGTAATGGTTCACGGGCCACGTTTGGCCTGTGGGCTGCCAGCTGAATAGTCCTGCTATAGGAAATTTTGGTCATATCAAGTGCCACAAGGGATTGGAAAAATTAATAGCAGAAGGCATGGTACCAGGACGAAGGGGCAGCGGCCGACCAACAAGAAGATGGGCACAGGATATATTATAAGCGACTCTTTGAGTATGAAAGTACATGATGCGGGAGAACTGGCCAGAGACCGAGTTTCTTTCAGGCAGACCGTGATGAGAGCGACGTTCTGCAAAGGATCTGCTAAATGATCATGATGATAGGCCATAGTTCATAGTGCTACTTACATATTCTGTAGATAATTGGTAGTCAGGCATGGTAAAGAACCCTTTGAGCACAGATGGGGCATAGTGCCAGAACTATTTACAGATCAACTGGCACTCGACTGCTGATGAGGCCAACATTATCTGAGCCACCATTTTTTGCCCTAGGCACCAAATTTAGGTTGGGTCAACATGGGAGTCGAGGCAGTTTAGAAGATAAAATCTATATCAATACAGATTTGAACTCTTGATCTTCAGGGTTGGCAGGCGAACATCTAGTCACTACGCCATCAAAGGTTCCCCAGTGTAATGTGGCCTTATTTCATACTGTGCGTACTCTGCTGATGACCAGTTCACTGTGGCTGCAACAACACCAGTACACTGTGGCTGCAACACACGGGTACACTGTGGCTGCAACAGCACCGGTACACTGTGGCTGCAACAGCACCGGTACACTGTGGCTGCAACAGCACCGGTACACTGTGGCTGCAACAGCACCGGTACACTGTGGCTGCAACAGCACCAGTATACTGTAGCTGCAACAGCACCGGTACACTGTGGCTGCAACATCACCGGTACACTGTGGCTGCAACAGCACCGGTACACTGTGGCTGCAACAGCACCAGTATACTGTAGCTGCAACAGCACCGGTACACTGTGGCTGCAACATCACCGGTACACTGTGGCTACAACAGCACCAGTACACTGCGGCTGCAACATCACCGGTACACTGGCTGCAACAGCACCTGTACACTGTGGCTGCAACAGCACCAGTACACTGGCTGCAACAGCACCGGTACACTGTGGCTGCAACAGCACAGTCAATGACCATCTGAGTCAGTGGTTTGAAATGTTTTTCAGTCAGGTGGCGCCCTCCTGAATATACGGCTAAGAAAATCTATCTCCTAGCTGTTAAACAAATGTGACTAAAAAAAATAATAAAAACAAAGAACTTTTTATTCTGTTAATTTGATTTTAACTGCAGATGTACAAACTGCTCATGCAAAAACATCCTTTGGCTTGTTGTTTTACAAATAGTTCGGAAAAAAAAAAATTGAAGTTTTTTTTCTTTAAATAACAAACAAAAAACATGTTACAATATTACAAGTACAAATGAAATTTGTACACAGAGCATATTCTAAGTTGAATACATGTCTGATTATCTGTATAATTTCACCTCGTACCTCACACGTCCATTTTTATTTACTTGGCTTATTTCTTGTTTTACTGAATATGATGTTTTTCCTGGGGACATCAGGTACAGAAACTCAGCAAGAATGAGGTGCTGATGGTGAATATTGGTTCTCTGTCGACCGGGGGAATTGATACTCATTTGTACACAGAGCATATTCAAAGTTATCTTTTTTACAAATTATTTGTACAGTGTACGCTCAAAGTTGACTTCTTTTGTCAATCGACCATACACAGTTTTAATTGTTTGTCTACTGTGTAAATACAAGGGTGACTTCTTTCAATCATACCTGCAGTGTACACACAGCTGACTTCTTTGGTCAATCAATCGTACAGTGTATACATAAAACAATGCAGACTGCATGAAAAAAAAAATAAACACAACACATAATATTCAAACAGAGAAACCAAATTCTGATTAAATTACTGTCAAGTTCAATGACAATACTGCACACAGCAGTCACATAAACAATGCAACCGTATGCAGTGATCATGCATGCACATTAGTATGTGAAACTGGTGCCAGCTACTTGAAGCTTCAACTCTTTCACCCTGAGAAGCCAAAACAACACTTCTCGTTGGGTTCAATTCCCTGTAAATGTCACTTTGCCGACTTGTTTACAGTGACCTGTTTACAAGACGCGCAGTTAATGCTTTTGCCTGTCTGCATTATACGCAAATGTTTAGAAAGTCAGGATATGGATACATAAACTAAAAAGAGCATTGAGAGGGGGATCCTTTAAGCTAAATGTTTTGTTTAAAGCCAGGTTGACGTCAGATTTTCTCGTCAGCCTCAGTGTTAGAGGTCAGGGTCACGGCATGAGTCACCTTTGGTGTTAAGGCCCAGGGGAATGCACTCCATTAATGCTTCACCCTGTTCTTGTTTAGTGATTACTCCTTTTATTTTTCTGTATATATTTCTCAAATGTTCTGGAATTGTAAGGGGATCGTGACATACTTTTTTTTAAGTGCTCTGCGGCCAGCCGCCTTTATTTCCCAGGACTTCACCTGGTACCCATCAAAGTCTAGGAGCCAAGTATAAAGGTCAGTGACAATCATCTACTGGGTCAACACCCAGAGCAGACTTTGGTGATCATGTCTCTTCGTACACTAGTATCCAAGTATGTGTGTCAATGACAATAGTCTTTTAGGTCAACACCTAGAGCAGACTTTGGTGATCATGTCTCTTCGCACACTAGCATCCAAGTATGTATGTCAGGACGTCAGTCACTTACGTTTAAACTCCTGCAAGCTTGCCTGCTGACCCGGCAGCCATGCGTTCAACACCATTTCCCCCCTTCCCTACCCCAGGGACACTGGAACCCAAAAGGAAAGAGGAGCATTTCAGACTCATTAACACAGGGTTGGTGTGTAAGCATGCTTGTACTGAACCACCCTTGTTAAGCAGAGCCTGACTTTAAAACTAATTTGTCTCAGTTTACAAAAAAATTAGTAACCATGGAAATGAAATGTTTGAAAAAAGCTGCAGGGCTGACCAGAAGAGATCAAATCAAGAGTAAGTCATAAGAGAAAAAGTCAGTATAGAATTAATTCTAAATTACAAAGCCAGGTAACGCCCACTTAGAGAGAATGCCTTGTGATGATATACCACACAAGAGGAGAGTGACAGACAGCCTGAGGGAGAATAAGATAACATCACAGAAACTCTATAAAAGTATGTTGTCTCTACAGCTAAGGTGGCCAAGATAGCAAGAATGAGAAACTTGCATCTCCCCTGACACCTGCAGAGGTATAAGATGAAGAAGAAATCAGTTATTACTCAAAAATGCTCGCCCAAGGCTTGAGACTACTGGCACATCTCATTCTAGAGTTAGGAAAATAATTAAACTACATATATTTTATTTCTATAAGAATTGAAGAGAAGAAAAAAAAAATAAATAAATAAATGGGGAGACATTTATTTGATGACCAACAGATGCACCCCTATATATATATACCATGCCATTTGAAATGTATTTATGTTAGAGTAAAAATTAAATAAAGTAAAACAAAACTTATAAATAAGTTGAGATTTCATAGTTTTGACATTCCTGCCAACAACCAGTGGTTCAGAATTAGCTGCAGAGTTGCCGACTCCTCTTCCAAGTTTGCCATGCAGCCCGTAACATAACATAACCTTTGACCTGTTAGGGTCATGCAGGTGTATCGATGAAAGTACTAACACACAAAACCTGCCATCTTTCTGTCTTCCACTTGTACAAGTGTATGCTAACTTAGTATTGTCTATTTCTTGATGCTGTCATTCCAGGTTCTTCCTTGCCCTCCTCTTCTTTGACTCCCCCCCCCCCCCCCCCAATGAAGCAGATATTTTTTAATAGTAAAGAACCCTTGTCCAAACCTTCATGCACATTGGGCAGGGTATATGGTGCTAGACCAATATTTTAAAGACCAATCCGCATTCTATGGGTGATTTGGTCAACATCACGCCGGCCGTCTTTATTTCCCCGGACTTCACCTGGTGCCCGTTGAAGTATAGGTGGACCTGGGAGCTAAAGTCATTAAAAAATAAAGGCTGATTCTACTCAAGACTTAAATCTAAGACCTTCGGCAGCAATCATCTAGCTGCAACACTACAGTAGCTCGTTTACTGTCTATGAGCCATAATGAAACATTTATTATAATTTATCAATTAGTCTGCTAGCCGCCTGCCCAAAGCGTTGCACAAAACATGAACATCATAGCTCCGGTGTCAATCCCCAGAGGTCTCCATAAAATTGCACTCATAACCTGTACGACACAGCCATGAAACAAACTCACGACCTTCAGAGCACAAGGCAAATGGCTAGACAACTGTGCCACAAAGACCACCAGCCAGGCCAGGGTGAGGTCTATCAATCAGTATATGCTTGCACACCCATGCTTGTTTACTAAGTGACTTTCTGAGTTTGATTTTAACACTTGAGGAAGATTCAGTCTATCAAATCTTTGCAGAGATATTCATCTTTGTACATCTCAGTGGGGCTGAAGGCAATGAAACAACAGACAGACAGGCTGGTTCTTCCATTATATCAGATGGTGAACCAACTGATCAAGCCAAATATATGAACACCTGCAGATAACTAAGCTCAAATTACAATTTCCAAACAACACAACATACTTAAATGTTAGAATGCAAAAAGTATGGATCAAGGAAATGAGTGATTAGAAAATATCAGATTGCAAGCATTCAAACAGGCTGACTAATATGCACCAAAACCACAGTTAGCTGCTGTAAAAGTCATGGACCTACTGCCACAACTTGAGATGCCCTGTGTACATGGTGGCAGCCTCATAGTTTTTAAAGCTCAATCAGCAATTAGTCAGTTATCTGATCATTTGGCCAGCTGTCTTTACATCTCAAAACATTTCCTGGCACCATCTAAACAAATAGTTTACATACAGGTGGATACAATTATTTACCATACAGACAAACAGAAAACAAAAACATCTCTACCACAGAAAGAAATAGACACAAAAAAACAATAAACATATAGTATAATCACGCTTATAGAGAAACATAAACAAAGAAACAATAAACATACAATATAATCACGCTTATAAAGAAGTATTGGCTAGCAAGAAATAAAGAGATTAAACCTAAAAGCCCCTGATGAAACAAAAAAATCGTTCCCCAAAAAAGAGCGGACACAAATCTTATTCCGAATGTACACAATGAAAACAAAGTGCAAAGTATAAATGAAAACAAAAGTGCAAGTTAAATAAATGAAACAAAACTGTCTCTCTGGCCAGTGCTGTTGGCAGATCTTTCCGTAGGCAGATTTCTCAGAATGTGGTGATGAAAATATCAAGTCATGCCTGATAAGATCAGCAAAGACTAATCCAAACAGGAAGAAAAACACTTCGTGACTGCATCTCTGAAACAAATTTATCAGAAAAAAAAAACATTTAAAACTTGAAAAGAAACACTGTGATTTGTGAGGGCTATCATCAAAGCACTTGAGACAGATCTATAGGTGGTCCGAACTCCTCAACAGCTCTACAAGAGTAAAATGACTGATCACTCCTGTTCTGTGTTGACTAACCAGATACCTTGTGCCCTTGGTGAATTGTTCATGTCAGGCTAATAATCTGCACAACTGCTGTGTGAAAGATGGGTGTTTGGAAGGGCCAAATGTAAGACAGACCTGCGCGCCTAATTTGTGACCCTTTGAAAATAAAGTTTGTTCGTTCAAACACACACATGGACAAGCACAAAGATAAAGGTTATGAGAATTATTTGTGACGTATTTAATGAAAGAACCCATTCTTCTCTGATAAAGATGACCTGTATTTTCTTGAGCATATTCATTGAATCGCTCAGTGTGCACACATCTGGTGATTCTGGAGTACCCAGCCATGTTAATGCCCTTGTCGCAGCTATGGTCTGGGTTGTAAGGCTACTGGTTGTTACAGCAAATTAAAAAAACAACATCCGCATACCTTTCATGCATTTTGTACTTGTTCATAAGGTATTTTTGGAGTTCGATATTATGTTACTTACTTGCCTTTCAGAAAAAAGTCTTCACCTCATTTCTTGCACACAAGGAAAGCATAATAAAAGGATAATAAAATTAGGGAAAGAGAATGAAGAAGATGAGGCAAGAAGATTATTGACTGCTGTTTCCTGGCATGGAACTGTGTTAGCCCCCGAACTTATACGTGCTGTTAGATACTGTGGGTTGTGGAAAGACATGATCACCCATTACAGTCAACTGATGATGAAGAAGGAAAGCCCAGAATGGTAACACTGTAACCAGGCATCTCGCCAGAGACAAAACAGTCAGAGTTGATGTCAGGCAGACTGCCTCATCCTACGGAAAACTTTAACTGCAAAATCCAACCAATCGTGAACATGACAATTCATCAAGTCAAGGAATCAGTGAGTTACTGAGGATCTAGGTTCCATTATAGCAGTCACTGTGGTGTAGCAGTTAGACGCTTGCCTGCGGATTAGAAAGTTGTGGGTTCAGTTTCTGACACAGCACAACATTTTTTCTTTGAAAAAAAAAAATTTTACTTGGCTCCCAGGTCGACCCAGCTGTTAATGGGTATCAAAAAAAGTCCTGGAAAGTAAAAGTGGCTGGTGTGATAATGACATCATCCACAGAGTGCTGACTGGTCTCTAAAATATAGATCCAGTCTGTAATATGCTCTGCTAGGGGCATGTATTAATTTGCATTGCTTTCAGACGAACAGTGAGTTGAAACGACACAGCATGAACGAATATTGAGTTGCTTGCTTTTATTCGTTGAATCACCAATTATCGTACACATACATTCTCGCTTCCTCCTGCTCGTCTTGCTTGGCTGAATCTAGCGACCTGGTCAGACTTCTCACACACTACAGGAATTCATCAGCGTCTCTCGAACCATCTATCTATCCTTCAATGAACTCTGGTACCTGACATTACGACGTGTGGAAAAAACATTCAGTCCTCCTATTCAAATATAACATTCGTTTCACAAATCATTTATTCTTCCACTCATGCGTCCTCTCTCAGTCAGGGCTGAACTTCAACTGTCTTACTTCTGTCTCTTGGTTCACATCTTCCGTTCACATCTCATGCTTTTCTTGTGTCCCTCACTTCGTTCACCATGAGACACACGAGACCCACTTATCCCATTTTTCTCTTCTCTCACGGGTCCTCCGACCTTTTCCTCCCCATCGGGAACTCTCAGGGATTTCCCAGGGAATTCACAACATTACACAGTCCTATATGCCTGACACAACTGAAGGCACGGAAAAAAGAGTCTTTTACTTTAGGCTTCACTAAGAGATGACAGGCAAAATAAAAGTAGAAGCTATTTTATAAAACTCTGGTTCAAATGATATGCTTGTCAACAATTTCTTCATGTCCATATGTCAGACAACAAACACCAACTGTACTATATTATTTCCTAAGTTGAATGTTGAATCAACATTATAGCACTCAGGACGCTCCCATAAGTGCTTTGTCCCCACCTTCAGCAGGAAGCGAAGAGTTCCAATTCCGATGATACCAGTAACTGTCTGATTGTACATCCATCTCGCCTTCCCCTTGAGTGTTGAGCGTTGGCAAGATCCCCTGGTAACTCCCCACAACACCATTCTCCTCTCACCATAATGATTTATTTGTGTAAGATTGCTTTTTTTCCTAACTCACTGCAGCCAACAGCAGGAGGCAAGTTTAACCATTCAAACATTCCCAGGAAAACTTACCTTGCAAAAGGAATATATGACAGGGAGTACCAGGTGAGAGCCAGGAATTGAAGGATGCAGCAAACAATTGTCAGTGGAGCGTTCTTTACCTGCAGATTTCAAAGGTTTGTGTTGAAGAATATCTGCCATTTTGTTTTTTACATACAAAGGGAGACCACTAACAAATAAAAAAATGGTTATCTTTCCATTCTAAAAAATGGACCTTATCTGCACAATTTTTTTAACAAAGCAGGGATCAGCCGCTAGGCATACAGCACCAAACAAAAGACTGAATAGGCAGGAAGTTTAAGGACTTGAAATACTCCAAGACACAGCATCATGAGATTCCATGGCTGCTTCCTTGTCTCACTGCCCCCTGCCCAAAGTAGGAGGCTGGGTCAGCCAAGAGCCAACCCCATAACCCTTCTCACATGTGACTGCTGAGAATACCAAGGGAGCACTAACGTGGTCATTTCAGACACCCCAGTTACAGCTTACTGGAGGGTAAACAGAGTATCAGAGATTTGTTGTGTTATGACGACTTCCATGATGTGACTATTGCAGTCGCAGAGGTGACCAAACTTTTCAATAGCAGGCTGCAGAGTACAGACAAACCCCCAGATCCATACTGGTGGAAACAGAATTCTGTTTAAACTTGAGAAAAAAAAATTATCCTTTCTGTTCTTTACATTGGCTGGCTTGAACTCTGGCAGAAAGTTCTGGTTGTTCTACTTCTGGATGTAGTCTTGTTTTAGAACTTGAGTTTTGCCGGCACAACTGTTTTACAGATCTGGCTTATTTGTATGCAGACCGCTGGTTCCTAGCCTCTGAGACAGATGTGCTCAGAGCTTGAAGGAAACATTTATAATTAGTTGGCTTTTATGACATGCTTGTTAGGGTGCAGTGGATTTTTCTCCCCCCCCCCCCCCCACACACAATGGGCCAAGGAAACCATACGGGGGAGAAATGAATGCAGATCACTGTGTTGGATGACAAGCATACTAACCACAAAACACTAGTCTCAGTCAGACATTTGCACTACCACAGAATACAACAACACACAGACAGCCATCCCTTGTACACCAGGACAATTAGAATTTGTAGGGCAGCAGCAGACATTTTAGGGCACCATTTTACTAGACAGCCATCCCTTGTACACCACAATTAGAATCTGTAGGGCAGCAGCAAAGGGCACACAGTTAGCTCCGTGTGCAGTAACTGCAAGATAGCTCTGTGTGCAGTAACTGCAAGATAGCTCTATGTGCAGTAACTGCAAGATAGCTCTATGTGCAGTAACTGCAAGATAGCTCTATGTGCAATAGTTGCAAGATAGTTCTATGTGCAATAATTGCAAGATAGCTCTGTGTGCAATAACTGCAAGATAGCTTTACGTGCACTAATTGCAAGGTAGCTCTACTAATTTATGCACTAATTACATGGCAGCTCTATGTGCACTAACTACATGGCAGATCTATGTGCACTAACTACATGACAGATCTATGTGCACTAACTACATGGCAGATCTATGTGCACTAACTACATGGCAGATCTATGTGCACTAACTACATGGACAGATCTATGTGCACTAACTACATGGCAGATCTATGTGCACTAACTACATGGCAGATCTATGTGCACTAACTACATGGCAGCTCTATGTGCACTAACTACATGGCAGATCTATGTGCACTAACTACATGGCAGTTCTATGTGCACTAACTACATGGCAGATCTATGTGCACTATCTATGTGCACTAACTACATGGCAGATCTATGTGCACTAACTACATGGCAGATCTATGTGCACTAACTACATGGCAGATCTATGTGCACTAACTACATGGCAGATCTATGTGCACTTCCTAAATGACAGCCTAACATGTACTGACTGCAACAAACAAATAAAAACATAATAAAAACAGTTTGGTACTTACTGCAAAAGCACACACTAAGGTCAATATTAACATTACCTGTAAACAAAACATGAATGATATCAATATAAACATTATCTGTAAACAAAACATGAATAATGTCAATACAAACATTACTTGTAAACAAATCATGACCAGACTGTTAATTACAAAGCCCGCCATGACATCAACCAAAAGTAATTATTAAAAGGGAGTTAGTCATTCATCACATAAACCCATGATTGATTTCACTACTGTATTATCATCAGAATACTTTATATGGATAATATTTTTGGGTTAAATATATATATATATATATATATATTTTTATAATGTGTACTCTTCCACCCTCTACTTTTTCTTTCATAATTCTTCTACACTGTCCGATAATGAAATAATGAGACTGGTCTTTTTCTGGCCAAAACAAAAACATCATTCAAGAAGGAAAGCTTGTCAACCAAACAGGTACCATTCATCTATATCTGGCAACACTGTAGCGCCGCCCAGTCAGCAGAAGATAAGTAAACTAAACTGTTTAGCTATTGCAGGGAGAATCATTACATATGCAGAATGAAGCTGATGACATGTAAAACATTTTATTTAGTTAGTGAAAGTTGCACCATTACAGAGGCAGAATGAAGGCAAGGATGAACAGTAATCCTGTTTCAAACTTAAAAAAAAAAACCCATAAATTAGATATAAGCTAAACAACAGCTCTCTGTCAGCGTCGTTAAGCTGAACAGTCTCCATAACATGTCTTACAAAACTGCCCTCTCCTGGAAGAGCTGTGAAGCAACATGTAGCCACATCAAGTAGACCTGATAACTGAGCTTTAGGGAAACCTAAGAGATTTTGAGATGACATCCTGGTTTATGACCCACAACGGATTAAACACATGACCAGAGATCACTGAAGAAGAAGAAGAATGAGTGCATCAGCCCGATAGACGAGGAACCGACAGTTTGCCTACAAGTAAGCCAGATCTATTAAACAAATGTGCATGCAAAACTCAAGCTTTAAAACAAGACTTAAGTCTAGAAGTGGTTCAACAACCAAAACATTCAGCCTGTGAACGTGAAGAAGATGATAATGACACCCATGTCTGTCTGCAGATGTTGCCGACATCAAAATAAGCTGTCATGACATGAAACTATCAATGTCATTTACGGCTGTATACAGATGTTACCACTCTACCAAAAGACAACCAAGCTGTATATGATATCTTTACTACACACAAAGAGGAGAAAATTCAGACCAAAAAAGACCTGGATACAGAACCTGACTGACTGGACAGGCTTTCGGCATGCAACCATGAAGTCTACTGCATCTGAGTTTCAACGGTAGAAGGAGTTGATCAGTCAGTCAACAGCAACTGGTGACCCAACTACACGCGTGTTACAGGTCGATGATTGTGATGATGAAATACAATTTACTTATTATAACTGTTGATCATTGGTGGTTATTCTATTTATACTGTGCTATTGTGATGATTTTTCTTTTAAGAAATAATAAATAACAGGTATGACCATTATTTTTCTCCTGTAGTACATATTCCAAAATACAGAGGTGAATCGTGGACCATCTCTCAGTCCTTAAGAAAGAGAATAGGGGCTTTTGAGCTGAAATGCTATAGAAAGATTATCAGAATATCTTGGACAAAGAAGAGGAGAAATCCTGACATCTTGAAAGATCTGAACATCAAGGAAGATTGGCTAATAAACAGCATCCTGTCTCGGAAGCTGAAATATTCTGGTTATATCAAGCGCCCCAACAGACTGGAAAAAATTACAGCAGAAGACATCAAGAAGTAGGGGCAGGGGCTGACCAACACGAAGATGGGCACAGGATATAAGTGACTCCTTGAATATGAAAGATCATGAGGCGGGAGAGTTGGCGAGAGACAGTTTCTTTCAGGCAGACCATGATGAAAGCAACGTTCTCCAAAGGACCTGCTTGTACAGATGACAGAGTTGGAATGTAGACAGATTTTTAAAAAAAAAAAACTCATTTCAACTTACAAAGACCAAAATTGTGGCTATAATTCTTGTCCTGGCGAACATCTTCGTTAGCTGGTTACAGGGCCCCATCAAGAAGCAAGTGCTGAAACCAAGCAAAAACGTTACATCAGTTTGGAAGACAGGAAAAAACAAAACAATGTTCATTTCACAACACACCACTGGTAAAGGAGTCATCGTTATAATCAACCAATCAGATGCGGCTTCCATACTGAAGGTTGGTTCCTCTGTTTTTAAGTCTCTGAGACTGCAGTCTGTCCATCCCCCAATGTTATCCTCCCAGTTTTATTACTGTCTGCCTCTTTGCTTGCTTGCCTTCAACTTTCAAAATATTTAATTTTCCCTTAATGCTTAATGTCTTATCTATCTCTCTAGATGTCAGACATGTTCACATGCTGTTGAAAAAATGTGTGTCTATTCCTTTTCTTTCTGACTTCTATTTCACTTCTGCAATAAATTTTTAACTGCATGTTCAAGAAATGAAATAATTATAAACAGCTTACTGAAAGCAATTCATGATGGCAACCTTGGTTACATGATATAATGGAAATAGTTCTTAAATGCAACCATGATTATAGGGTATGGTAAAAATAATTCTTGAATGCAATCAGCAAAAGTGAACGTACCTTGATAAAGACAATATGTTTCCAAACGTGTAGAGCACACCAAAGATCACTAAGCCATTTGGTAGAAACAACAAACAACTTCCCTGTGAAAGCAACAATTGTAAACTATTTGGTAGAAACAACAAACAACTTCCCTGTGAAACAACAACAATGTGTAATCAATGGTAATCTATTTGGTAGAAACAACAAACAACTTCCCTGTGAAAGCAACAATTGTAAACTATTTGGTAGAAACAACAAACAACTTCCCTGTGAAAGCAACAATGGTAATCTATTTGGTAGAAACAACAAACAACTTCCCTGTGAAAGCAACAATTGTAAACTATTTGGTAGAAACAACAAACAACTTCCCTGTGAAAGCAACAATTGTAAACTATTTGGTAGAAACAACAAACAACTTCCCTGTGAAAGCAACAATGGTAATCTATTTGGTAGAAACAACAAACAACTTTCCTGTGAAAGCAACAATTGTAAACTATTTGGTAGAAACAACAAACAACTTTCCTGTGAAAGCAACAATTGTAAACTATTTGGTAGAAACAACAAACAACTTCCCTGTGAAAGCAACAATGGTAAACTATTTGGTAGAAACAACAAACAACTTCCCTGTGAAAGCAACAATTGTAAACTATTAACAAGTAAACCATTAACAATTTTCTTATCACTACAAAGCAGACATTGTGGCAGAGTGGCTAGTGCGCCTGTCTGTCAAGACTGGTTTCTGTTCAATCTCCTGCAGACAGGATGGTTTCCCCTAACTTGACAGTTCTTTAAAGTTATGCAGTTCCAGTCCTAATTTGTGGGAATGAATCATGGACAGTTAACTAATTACTGACAAATTATCTGAAAGTGGTGGAGATGTGGTTTTCTAGATAAATAATGAGAATACCCTGGACAGATAAAATGAAGATGTTTTCAAAGAAATCAACTCACAAACAGAACTGATTACCCACATCAGAAGATGCCAATCTACATTCTTTGGTTATGTCACGAGAAGAAGAAAACTGGAGTACATCGTGCCAGCGGGGGAAAAGAAACAGAGGGAGACCATGATAAAAGATGTTTGACAGTCTGACAGTGCGGCATGAGAGATACCCTGTGTCAGAAAAGACACTATACAGTTCTGGGGTTGACCCAGTTGTATAAAAGTAGGTGCAAGCCACTTTAATAGTTAGGACATTATCTGGAAAGGAAAGTTATCATATGGTAAAGGCCTAACATTTCACATCCTAAAAGGAGAATTTCATTAAGGACAATTTGTCCCCTTAGTGCAAATTTGAAAACACAATGAACAATAATCAGACACTGTTTTTTTTTTGGTTTCATTTTATAGTAAACTTTGGAAATGGATGGAAGAAATCAGATACAGCAAGGGTCCAGAATAAATAAGAGCATCACTCCACAGCTTTCTGTCAACTGTGTTATTTAACAGTTGAAGGGCTTGTTGCGATTATAAGTGACAGAATAACTAAAAATATTTTGCCATAGTTCTCTTTTATCTGTTGGGATGAGAGATGGTTAAAAAGCAAATGCCTCCTATTTTTTCTTTTTATCTGTGTAAATACTGCATTGGTTAAAAATGTGCAAATTTAGCAGGATTGCTCAAACACTCTTCTGCACAGTACAACGCGAGCAACCTGTTTCAGTAACAAGTGGCCTCATTACTTCAAACCGAGCACGAGCAACCTGTTTCAGTAACAAGTGGCCTCATTACTTCAAACCGAGCACGAGCAACCTGTTTCAGTAACAAGTGGCCTCATTTAGAGCAACCTGTTTCAGTAACAAGTGGCTCATTACTTCAAAAAAAGCACGAGCAACCTCAGTTGGCCTCATTACTTGAGCACGAGCAACCTGTTTCGAGCACGAGCAAACAAGTGGCCTCATTACTTCAAAACCGAGCACGAGCAACCTGTTTGTAACAAGTGGCCTCATTACTTCAAACCGAGCACGAGCAACCTGTTTTCAGTAACAAGTGGCCTCATCAAACCGAGCACGAGCAACCTGTTTCAGTAACAAGTGCCTCATTACTTCAAACCGAGCACGAGCAACCTGTTTCAGTAACAAGCCTCATTACTTCAAAACGAGCACGAGGCCTCATTACTTCAAACCGAGCACGAGCAACCTGTTTCAGTAACAAGTGGCCTCATTACTTCAAACCGAGCACGAGCAACCTGTTTCAGTAACAAGTGGCCTCATTACTTCAAACCGAGCACGAGCAACCTGTTTCAGTAACAAGTGGCCTCATTACTTCGATTTCAGTAACAAGTGGTACTTTAAAACAATGTAATTTCATAGAATTTCTTAATGTTGAAGGCGAGATTCCAATTCGCGTCCAGGAATGTTTGAAGAAATGTATGGAGATTCAACAGCAGATGTTAGCACTGTCCGATGCTGGGGACTTCATTGCCATAAAGCTGAAGTAGGTCAGTCCTCAATTGCTGATGGAAAGTGGACTGGCTAATCAGCTTCAGGTACTTTTTGGACACTTTTTCAGCAATTCCTTATCCAGTCTCTTGCTATCTCCATTTTCTCTCTAGTCTCTCTCTATGCAGTCCCTCTGTGCACCCAGTCTCCTTTTAAGAACAGTAACTCTGTACACACAGTCCCACTGTAAACACAGTCCTTCTGTACACACAGCCCCACTGTAAACACAGTGCCTCTCTACATACACAGTCACTTTCTCACACAGTCCCTCTCTATATATAGTCACTTTCTCACACAGTCCCTCTCTACATACACAGTCACTTTCTCACACAGTCCCTCTCTATATATACAGTCCCTTTCTCACACATTCCCTCTCTACATACACAGTCCCTCTCTATATATACAGTCACTTTCTCACACAGTCCCTCTCTACATACAGTCACTTTCTCACACAGTCCCTCTCTACATACACAGTCACTTTCTCACAAAGTCCCTCTCTACATACACAGTCCCTTTCTCACACAGTCCCTCTCTACATACACAGTCCCTTTCTCACACATTCCCTCTCTACATACACAGTCCCTCTCTACATACACAGTCCCTCTCTACATACAGTCACTTTCTCACAAAGTCACTCTCTACATACAGTCACTTTCTATCTCCTTTCATGACATTCCTTCATTTACATTACACATAATTTACCAGGATGGAGAGAACAACCCCCAGGATGAAACAGATGGCAAAACCTTTGATCCTGGTCGACCAGCTCAGGGTGGAGGCATCACTGATCTGAGGACACAAAACGACACAACCAGACATTGAACCTGGAGAAAACCACGCACACACACAAAACGACACAACCAGACATTGAACCTGGAGAAAACCACGCAAACACACACAAAACGACACAACCAGACATTGAACCTGGAGAAAACCACGCAAACACACACAAAACGACACAACCAGACATTGAACCTGGAGAAAACCACGCAAACACACACAAAACAACACAACCAGACATTGAACCTGGAGAAAACACACACAAAACGCGGTAAATCACAAGTTTGTGCAGATTTTCAGCATAAACAGCCTTGGTGGTCTCGGTTGTAATCTGTTCATGAAACTATATAGACCTGTATAGCAGAGATTTAAAAAATAAATATTGCAGTACATGTTTTATTCCACACTGCTCAGTGTCTCTCTGTAGTGTGTTCGCGCGTGAGCGTGCGTACATATTTTACCAGCCATGCTTTTGTTTTTGACTTCATATATATAATATGCATATTATTACATGAATATAACATGCTTCATTAATGAAATACAACTGCTGTGTGAAAGATGGAAGTTTGGAAGAGCGGAATGTAAGACAGGCCTGCGTGCCTAATTTGTAACCCTTTGAAGTTCGTTCGTTTGTTCGTTCGTTCTGTAGAACAGCTACGTGGCTGCTGAGAGAACTGCACAAAGATTAACTCCATACATTTATCTGTCATAGTTTTCTAATTATAATTAACTATCACTGTTCTCTAATTGTATCCCCTGTGTGGATTCTGGGGCCCCTTTGTAGGCAAAACTAGAATAAATCCACTGCTCCCTAACAAGCATGTCAAAGGAGTGGACTAAGTAGGGATGTTTCCTTTGAAGTCGCAGTGCATCTACCTGACAGACAAGGAACCAACATTCTGCATACAAATAAAACAGCTATGTAAAACAGATGTGCATGCAAAACTTAGGTTCTGGAACAAGACTAAAGCCCATGTGGATCAAGAACCAGAAATGTATGCCAGTAAACGAATGAACAAACTTTGTTTTCAAAGGGTCACATTTTCAAAGGCCTGTCTTACATTCAGCCCTTCCAAACACCCATCTTTCACACAGAAGTTGTATTTTATCAATAAAGCATGTTATGTTCATATAATAATATGCATGTTATGAATATCAAGAAAAAAGCGAAGAAGAGTTCTTGAATTACAAAGTTTAACTGTCACAGTTCTCTAATTATAAAAAATGTAAAGTCCTGGTACTCTAATTATAAAGTTTAACTGTAATAGTTTTCTCTAAGCTTAAAGTTTAAATATCATAGTTTTCTTCTCTAATCATAAATTTTAAACATCATAATTCTCTCATTTCAAAACTTCTTTAATTATAAAGTATAACTGCCATAGTTCTCTGGTTAAAAGTTTTATTGCAATAATAACGATGAACAAAATACAAAAATAGAGCATCATAATCAAATTTAATCATGTCTATTGATTCACTACTAATCTCATAGTGATTCTCAGTAACATGAACACAGAAAAACTAACTTCATAAACCGAAGAACAGAAAACAACAGCAAATGATGAAACTGTGTCTACACAGACTACCACTGTGATCCCAAACTGGTGAAACTGCACTACAGACAGTGCTAGAGGTGCCAACTCCTGCTGCAGGTAACAAACAGCAAATACGCTAGTTTGTATCATCAATTATATAAGCTTCAAAGTTTCTTCCCCTTCTTCTTTTTTGTTGTTGTGTACACTGTTTTCTACACAAGATTGTTGCGGCAGCCAAATTCTTTAAACAAGGTATTTAGACAAGTATCACTATATGCAACAAACAAGGGTTAATGAATGTTTCACTTTATGGAACAACATAACAGTTCCTTAATGTTTCACTATATGGAACAACACAACCGTTCATTAATGTTTCACTTATATGGAACAACACAACAGTTCATTAATGTTTCACTATATGGAACAACACAACAGTTGATGAATGTTTCACTTATATGGAACAACACAACAGTTCATTAATGTTTCACTATATGGAACAACACAACAGTTGATGAATGTTTCACTTATATGGAACAACACAACAGTTCATTAATGTTTCACTATATGGAACAACACAACAGTTGATGAATGTTTCACTTATATGGAACAACACAACAGTTCATTAATGTTTCACTATATGGAACAACACAACAGTTCATTAATGTTTCACTTATATGGAACAACACAACAGTTCATTAATATTTCACTTTATGGAACAACACAACAGTTCATTAATGTTTCACTATATGGAACAACACAACAGTTGATGAATGTTTCACTACATGGAACAACACAACAGTTGATGAATGTTTCACTATATGGAATAACACAACAATTGATGAATGTTTCACTACGTGGAACAACACAACAGTTGATGAATGTTTCACTACATGGAACAACACAACAGTTGATGAACACTATATGGAACAACACAACAATTGATGAACACTACATGGAACAACACAACAGTAGATAAACACTACATGGAACAACACAACAGTTGATGAATGTTTCACTATATGGAATAACACAACAATTGATGAATGTTTCACTACGTGGAATAACACAACAATTGATGAATGTTTCACTACGTGGAGCCATATAGTTGATGAACAACAAAACCCTCCAATTACTGCCTGCATGAATATTTACAGGGAACAACACAATAGATAGTGAATGAGAAAAACTGTTTCTAAGGTGCTGGATGAAGAAAATGACAGCATAAACTGTGAAGATTTTTACCAGCAAACAAGTAAACTTCTATATCTGACTGACCACTGAGTATACAATTGCTATTCTGTTAACAATAAACAAAACTATAAAACCTGCTGTCAAAGGGACTATTGAATGCAACTGAAATCAAATCAGCTGGTTAACTTTAAAGATATAAAACAAAAAAGAAACATCAGCCAAAATACTTTCCTGCTTGTACATTGCACGGCTAAACCAGAAGTTGCTTTCACTCTTCATAAACAGAACAAAAACAAAACAGACAGCTGAATAAATCTCTACAAAAGATCAACTCTAATAGTTAGTTAGTTACTTAAATCATCCTCACTGCACATCAGACAAGTCAATGTGCACTCATATTCCATCTTCAGTACATTCCCTAGTGTGTGGCAACTTACAACACCAGTTCTATATTGGTTTACTATTCTTATTTGGCTACCTGTATAGTGTTCATGACTCGCGACACCTCTTTTAACCTGCAGTTCTTGTAATCTATGTGAATGTTGCTGACTCAGCATCATCCCCTGAATCTGCACAAAGTGGCAATTACTTCGGGATGAGAATGTAAGGATGTGCAGATGCAGAGGTTCAATAGCTGATAGAGGACAGCTCTAGACCAGGAGATGTGATTATATACACTGATGGGTCAGTGGACAGAGGCATTAAAAGTGCATGGGGCGAGAAGGATGTGGAAGGAGAGCTTGGCATATGACATTACCATATCCAGCATGAGAATGGAGAGCGAGGCGTTAACTGCAGCACTCCAATGGGTGGACAAATCTCAGCCACACATCCTATCATAGTATTAGATTCACAAAGCATGCTCAGGAAGGTGGAGTCAGATTATCTTTGTATGGAATGAGTTACATTAATCCAGGTCAGAGGTGATAAGAATCACATGTAGATTATGTCTGGGCTATTCAGGTGTGTTTGGGAATGAGTAGGCAGAAAGGCTGGCTGGATTGGCCCCACCTGGATGTGTAGTGTATCTGCACAAGGCAGAGGTGATCTCTCACCTGTGGGACAAGGTAACAGGTGAAATGGAAGATACTGAAAACCTGTACCTTGAGAGAATGATACAGTTGAGAGTGGCTGTGGGCTCTGGTTGCCACCTGAGACTCAGAGGGAAGGCAAGATGATCAGTTAACCAGATGACAATGGGCACCATCAGTATGGAAACTCTTCGCTGTCTGTTGAGAAGGGCCACGGAGCTAATATGGGCTTGTCCTGTATGCTGTTATGTCGAATCTTTACCCAGATGAACGCAGATCCTGAATCATCTACTTGCCATGCCTCCTTGAGAGTATTAGAATACTGATCCAGTCCACTGCTCTCATGTATCTAGTGGGGAACTGCCAGCCAACTAATGTGCTCGTTCATTCTCTCTTACCCCTGAATACCATGGCACAAAAATGAAACTGATTCCTGACAGAGGAGATTTCCTCAGCAAATCCAACCACTGTTGTTGAACTGATACTGTCTCAATCTTCTTAAGCATGCTCATGGCATCACTTAGAAAGCGCACAACTGGACAAATTTGGCAGCTTTAGCCACATCATTGATTTGATTACTGCCACCCCTCCATAGCCAGACCACTTGTAGCCACATCCTTGTTTGGATTACTGCCATCCACTCCATAACAAGATTACTTGTAGCCACATCATTGCTTGGATTACTGCCATCCCCTGCATAGCCAGATCACTTGTAGCCACATCCTTGTTTGGATTACTGCCATCCCCTACATAACCAGACCACTTGTAGCCACATCATTGCTTTGATTACTGCCATCCCCTCCATAGCCAGACCACTTGTAGCCACATCCTTGTTTGGATTACTGCCATCCACTCCATAGCCAGACCACTTGTAGCCACATTATTGCTTGGATTACTGCCATCCCCTCCATAGCCAGACCACTTGTAGCCACATCCTTGTTTGGATTACTGCCATCCACTCCATAACAAGATTACTTGTAGCCACATTATTGCTTTGATTACTGCTATCCCCTACATAGCCAGACCACTTGTAGCCACATCCTTGTTTGGATTACTGCCATCCACTCCATAACAAGATTACTTGTAGCCACATTATTGCTTGGATTACTGCCACCCCCTACATAGCCAGACCACTTGTAGCCACATCATTGCTTGGATTACTGCTATCCCCTCCATAGCCAGACCACTTGTAGCCATATCATTGCTTGGATTACTACCATTCCCTCCATAGCCAGACCACTTGTAGCCACATTAT